ACGAAATTGATTAATGACTGCGTCAGAAATGGCGAGCTGCCCGCAGAGGCAAGTATCTTACTCTTGTGAGGCAGTTGTTGGTGGTTGGGTCTTGAGTTTTTTTTTTTTTTTTTTCTTTTGTTTTTTTTTTTTTTTTTTTTTTTTTTTTTTTTTTCCCGTGTCAGAACAACATGGTTCAGATAATTCTGACGATTTCTTGTTGAATAGTTGGCATTCGTGTCTTCGGTCCTTCCAAGGCCGCTGCCCGCATGGAGGGCTCCAAGACCTTCTCCAAGGACTTCATGCAGCGCCACCAGATCCCCACTGCCGAGTTTGGAAACTTCTCTGACTATGAGGCTGCCCGCCGCTACCTCGATTCCGTGTCGCACAACGTGGTGATCAAGGCCGATGGTCTTGCTGGTGGTAAGGGTGTGATCATGCCCACTACCAAGGAAGAGGCCCACCAGGCCTTGAAGGAAATGATGGTGGACCACCAGTTCGGCAAGGCTGGTAACGAGGTCGTCATCGAGGAGTGCTTGGAGGGCGATGAGCTGAGCATTCTCACCTTCAGCGATGGCTACACCATCCGCTCGCTGCCCCCAGCCCAGGATCACAAGCGCATCTTCGATGGTGACCAGGGCCCTAACACTGGTGGTATGGGCTGCTATGCGCCTACGCGCATTGCGCCCAAGGAGGTCGTGGAGGAGATTGACCGCACCATCATTCAGCCTTCCGTTGACGGAATGCGCAAGGACGGTTTCCCCTTCGTCGGTATTCTCTTCACCGGTCTTATGATGACCAAGAACGGACCCAAGGTCCTTGAATACAACGTCCGCGGTGGAGACCCCGAGACTCAGACTCTGCTGCCCTTGCTCAGCAAGGACACTGATCTTGCACAGATCATGGTGGCCTGTGCCGACCACTGGTTGGACGGTGTCTCGCTCACCATCGAGCCCAAATTCTCCACCACCGTCATTGCTGTTGCCGGTGGTTACCCCAACGCCTACGCCAAGGGCAAGGCTATCACTCTGGCCCCCGAGGCGGCTGGAACCCTCATTTTCCACGCTGGTACCACTTTGTCTGGCAATGAGCTGCAGACTGCTGGAGGCCGTGTTATTGCTTCCACTGCTACCGCCAGTACCCTCGAGGAGGCCGTCGCCAAGAGCTACGAGGGCATCAAGACCATTAGCTTCGAAGACATGTTCTACCGCAAGGACATTGCCCACCGCGCGTTCCGCCAGACTGCCGACACCTCGCTCACCTACGCCCAAGCCGGTGTCTCCATCGATGCCGGTAACGAGCTCGTCAACAAGATCAAGAGCTCCGTGGGCCGCACCAAGCGCCCCGGTACCGACGCCGTCATTGGTGGCTTCGGTGGTCTCTTCTCCCTGGCCGCCGCCAACTCTACCTACCACCCCCACTCTCCCACCCTCATCGGTGCCATTGACGGTGTCGGCACCAAGCTCAAGATCGCTCACTCTGTTGGCATCCACGACACGGTCGGTATCGATCTCGTCGCTATGAACGTCAACGACCTTGTCGTGCAAGGTGCTGAGCCACTCTTCTTCCTGGATTGCTACTCTTGCGGTCACCTCGACGTCGCTACTGCCGCCGCTTTCGTCACTGGTGTCGCCGAGGGTTGTGTCCAAGCTGGCTGCGCCCTCATTGGTGGTGAAACCGCTGAGATGCCCGGTCTCTTCATCGACGACTCTTACGATGCCGTTGGTGCTGCTGTCGGTGCTATCAACACCACTGGCGAACATGCCCGTGCTATCCTCCCCCACACAGACAACATGCGCGCCGGTGACGTCCTCCTCGCCCTCGGCTCCTCCGGTCCTCACTCCAACGGCTACTCTCTCGTTCGCAAGATTGTTGAGCGCGCCGGCCTGAGCTTCTCCGACCCCGCTCCTTTCTCCATGCCCGGCCTCGAAGACGGTGTCTCCGTTGGTCGTGCCCTCCTCACCCCGACCCGCATCTATGTCAAGTCTATTCTCAGCGCCCTGAACGCTCACGGAACTGCCATCAAGGGTCTTGCTCACATCACCGGCGGTGGTCTTGTTGAGAACATTCCTCGCATGCTTCCCTCCACCTTGACTGCCCAGGTCGATGTCAGCACTTGGCCCCAGCCTTCCGTTTTCTCTTGGCTGCAGCGTGCCGGTAACGTCTCTTCCGCTGAGATGGCCCGTGCCTTCAACTGTGGTGTCGGTATGATCATTGCTGTTGACCCTGCTTCCGAGGCTGCCGTCCGCCAGACCTTCGAGGCTGCTGGTGAGACTGTCCACCGCGTTGGTGAGCTGCGTGTTCGCGATGCCAGCGAAGAGGGCTGCGTTCTGTCCGGACTTGAGTCCTGGGCTTGATTCTACGATGTTGATGTTAAAATTTGATCTTGATGGCGATGATTGATGCTTTATATATGGATGGAAAAAATGATTTATCTGGGCCATCTTATAGATTCTTGTTACCTTTTTTTTTTTTCTTCCTTTTTCCTCGTATTCCCTGCACATGTGCTTTTTTGCCTTAGGGCTAACAAATAAGGACCTTGGGTTCTCGAAATGACTTGTCGATTTTACCTATGACCTTTGAAATGATACACTTCTTGCACTTTTACACTTTCACTTTCATATTGATATCTCACAGCAGAACACCTAGATCAGACACACTCAACCGATCAACCCGTTCTTTCGAACATATCAATTCCCTCGGCAGCCACTCCTTGACTCTTCCCCCAGGAATTCCCGCCTCATCCTGATACTCTTCATCGCCAGCAATCATCAACCCAACCGCCACACCAGACAACCAAGCAAGAACCATCCCCTCCCCTTGAAACCCTGCAGAAATCCATTCCCCACCCCCCTTCCTGCCCGTAAGACTCTCCTCCAACCTCCCAACAAAAGGCAACAAATCGGGCGTGAATCCCATACACCCACTCCAGGCCTGTTCCACCTTGGTCTGCGTCTTGAAAATCGTCTCAACAAGACCACCCAGATACGCACGGATCGAATAACAGAGCCCATCATCCCTCCATACCCCAAACTCATCAACCCCCCTTCCAGGCGATTGTATCACCCCTCCACCAACCACCAACTCACCCCCAGGCCGCTGGCTAATATAGTCGAATCCACGCTTGTGGTGAATGCACCACGATCTCGAGCCATCAAACCCACACCCAGATTGCACAGTCACATGTCCACGCACTGGGAAGATCTTCCCCTCCAATCCTGGAATAAGGGTCGCAGCAAATCCATCAGTTGCATGCACAACCTGTGCAGCCTTGATTCGTCCTCTGCTTGTGGAAACCGTATACCCATCCCCATCCGCATTGATCTCCGTAACAATGGTGCCGGGTGAAATTGCAAAGTTGTCATTCTGCTGTAAAATCCCATAAATAGATGTAATGAACTTGTACGGCGATAGTGCAGCAGCCTTGTACTTGATGATCCCATAGCAATGTTCTGGATTAACATGGTATTCCTGCTTTGTTCAGTATCTCACATATAAGCCGGTACCTACCACATACCTGACACCCATCCACACCATCAAAGACAACAATATCCCCAGCCTCTTCAGGCATATCAGTCTTGAACACATGGACCATGCGCTTCGCATCCTCCCACGCCTTCTCATCAGTAAAAATATCAACAGTCTCCACCTCACGAGCCTCAGCCTCAATCTCCAACTCCCCCATCAACCCCAGCAACAGCCCCATATGACGTTTCTGAAACCGCAGTAGCTGTACAGCACTCTCCCCAAACCGATCTTTGAATGAGGAGTACTCCATATACGCAGAGCACTTGATATGACCCCCATTCCGGCCTGTTGCGCCACTGCAAACATCTCGTGCTTCGAGCATGAGGATATTACATTGGCTTTTGCGGAGGAGTGTGTAGGCTATGCTTGCGCCTGAGATTCCTGAGCCGATGATGATTATGTCTGTTGATGTGGGGAGGGGTTGAGGGGGGATTTGGAAGGGGTCATTTTGCCAGTGTGAGTGGGTGGGATTTGATACTGGGGGGGTGGGGGTTGAGATTCGAGATTGGAGATTGTCGAATGTGGTTTTTGATTCTGTTAGTTCGGCTTTGAGGGCTTGGAGGGTGGAGTAGATGTGGTTTAGTTTGGAGAGGAGGCCCATGGTGGTTGTGGAGGGGAGGGTAACTTTGGAAATGTCTAATCTACTTAAGTAGTCTAGAGTGCATCTCTAGAGCTGTCGATGCCTTCGAGCAACCCAGGGCTTTGGGGTTATCTTGCTATGATCTATGGGTTTGGGAGTGTACTAAAATGCATTCATTAAGTACAATTAACGGGGTAGTAGATTTACTTTCGATGCAAATGAATTGGGTTGATACTGCACTATCAAGGCGAGGATATACAAAATCTCCATGCGTGCAAGATTGTATCAAAATCGATTATTGATATATGCATTGGAACTAGTAAATACGAAACTGGAAAAAGTCAAGTTTTAAGAGACTACAGACGTGCAATCTGGAGTAACCGGGAAACACAAAGCCCAACTCCATGTACAGCCTCAGCTACAAGCCCATTGCGTGAACATCAAGTCAGCCCTGGAGGACGGCATGGGAAGAAAAAAGGTGGCGAGGAAAAAAAAAGCAGATGGATAGGGATTTCGATCGTAGAGATAACAACAAAGAGAAAAAAAAAGACCGACTCTATTCCACTAAAAGGTTCCATTTTCAGGCTATCCGCTTGATAATGCGAGTCCAACAACGCTTGCAATCCAGTGCCACCATCCTGCTTTTTGATACACCAGGAAAGTACGAGCGTAGACGAATAAGGCGCTTCGTGATGCGCTTAGAAGCACTTGCGGTGAACGATGGAGGGACCGGACTCGTCGTACTCCTGCTTGGAGATCCACATCTGCTGGAAGGTGGAGAGGGAGGCAAGAATGGAACCACCGATCCAGACGGAGTACTTGCGCTCGGGGGGAGCGATGATCTTGACCTTCATGGAAGAGGGAGCGAGGGCGGTGATCTCCTTCTGCATACGGTCGGAGATACCGGGGTACATGGTGGTACCACCAGACTGAACGAGGGGACAGGTATTAGCGCAGAACAGAGAAGCGATTTTGTTTTTTTCAATCTGGGAATCTTACCATGACAATGTTGCCGTACAGGTCCTTACGGACATCAACATCACACTTCATGATGGAGTTGAAGGTGGTGACGTGGATACCGCCAGACTCAAGACCGAGAACGTTCGGCTGGAACAGAGCCTCGGGAGCGCGGAAGCGCTCGTTACCAATAGTGATGACCTGTCCATCGGGAAGCTCGTAAGACTTCTCGAGGGAAGAGCTCTGGGAAGCGGTCTGGATCTCCTGCTCGAAGTCGAGGGCGACGTAGCAAAGCTTCTCCTTGATATCACGGACAATTTCACGCTCGGCAGTGGTGGAGAAAGTGTAACCACGCTCAGCCAGAATCTTCATCAGGTAATCGGTCAAATCACGGCCAGCCATGTCGACACGCGAGATAGCGTGGGGAAGAGAGAAACCCTCGTAAATGGGGACAACGTGAGTGACACCGTCACCGGAGTCGAGAACGATACCAGTGGTACGACCGGAGGCGTACAGAGAGAGAACGGCCTGGATGGAGACGTAGAAGGCGGGGGCGTTGAAAGTCTCGAACACGATCTGGGTCATCTTCTCACGGTTGGACTTGGGGTTGATAGGAGCTTCGGTCAAGAGGATGGGGTGCTCTTCGGGGGCAACACGGAGCTCGTTGTAGAAGGTGTGGTGCCAGATCTTCTCCATGTCGTCCCAGTTGGTGACAACACCGTGCTCAATGGGGTAACGGAGTGTGAGGATACCACGCTTGGACTGTGCCTCATCACCAACGTAGGAGTCCTTCTGACCCATACCAATCATGATACTGCGCTCATGTTAGTTTACTTTCTTCTGTCATATGAGCTGGATGTGGTGGATTTTCACCACCTACACCCAGAAAGACAGGGGGATTATTTACCCATGGTGACGGGGACGACCGACAATGGAGGCTATTTTGATATGTTAGTATTTCCATTCTGAGTCTCCAGGCAATTCCCATTCCAGCAAAGGAGGGTAAATTCTCCGATGCAAGGATTGGCGGGACAGCCTTTGCGAGGGGTATCCCAATTCCAAGGGAGGGGTTGACTTACGGAAGACAGCTCGAGGTGCGTCGTCACCGGCGAAACCGGCCTTACACATACCCGAACTATATCGCAATTCATCAGTATCATATTCCTCATTGTTCCTTAAGGTCCTTAGAGCGCTGGCTGAGCGTTGTGGGTGGTGGTGGGAACCCGTTGGGATGGAATCCAACTGCCGTCGTGGCCGATTAGGGGGGAAAGTGGCAACGACCGCGACCGAGGACAGATTGACGCCCAAACCCCAACACCCAGGCCAGAAGCTCCAGGAGAAAAGCCTCTCACATACCCATTGTCAATGACGAGAGCAGCAACTTCCTCTGAGAGAGATTCAGGTCAGCATTCGCAATTCAGGATGCCGAGCTGGCATTAGGGGGGGGGGGAGCTCCTAATAGCTGCCACAACTGAGTGGCATCAATAAAGCACAGCACATACCTTCCATTGTGACGGATTAGATTATGAACCTGAAGAAAAAGAAAAGAAAGATGGAATGGAGAGTATAGTTGGGATTAGGGGAAGGGAAGAAGGAAGAGAGTGAGAGAAGTGGAGAGGGGTTTGTGATGGCTGGGATTGTGCGCTGCCTGAGGCTCTCATTATTATTCCCCTCCGATCTACCCTTTTCCCTTGTTTTTCCCACCAAGAGGGTCATTATATAGTATGAATTGTACTGGATAAGGCAGAAATATTTCTCTTTTAATTTTCTCTCTTTAAAGTCGGGGGAATCTATTCTGTCTACCTATTGTGTTGCGTGGCCTTGTTCCGGGCGTTGAGAGCCTCCAGACCCTTCTGGATACGGGGAACACGTACCCTGTTTAGTGGCCACTCTCTAGTGGTTGGACTTGTGGACACTGAACCTTCGGCTTACAATGATACAATGAGACACATGAGACACACACAATTGTACAATTGTATGTAGCCAACCCAGGCTGCTGGATTCCCTCCCTTGCCTCCGGAAAGAATGTCGCATGTGGCGTTCTAAGTATAGGATCTAGTAGAACCAGACTTGGGAGGTGGGCTGTGCTGTAAATATGGAGTACGGAGGACGAACTGAAGCCCGGAGTCAAGTCAAGTTCTGGACAAGAAGAGCCACAGTATGGAGTAATCAGGATACAGAATAGATGTCAGCAAGTGTCAAAAAGCCCAATGGTCCTAGCTGAAGTCCTAGGCTTATACCGCCATTTGGTGACGGTGAGAGGGTCACCTGACGGAACCCACTGGTCGCCGCACGAAGCCCCCAGAGTCAAGATGACTCAGCGGGTCTCTTTTTTTTGGGGCGCAAAGACAATACAAGTACTTGGACAACACAAAGATTGACAAGGTTGACAAGATTGATATCTGATTGATTCTCTGCAATTACACACAACCTCTATTTGAATCCAACACCCTCCTGGATTAGCGCATTCCCCCAACACCTGCAAAAACCAACTACCCCGCCAGCCCACCATGGACCCCGAAATGAACAAGCTCCTCAAATGGAGTGTCACCAACTCGCAAGCCTCCGCAGGCGCTGATGGTGAAGGCAGTGCTCCCAATGCCACCGAAGCCGCCAAGACCATGACCCCCGAGATGCTGAGCCGACTCTTCGGTGGACCCTCCGACGCCGACTTGATGCGCGCGGCCATGGAGGTCGTCCACGACCCCGAGACCGATCTGGAGAACAAGTTGATCGCATTCGACAACTTTGAGCAATTGATTGAGGGAATTGATAATGCGAACAACCTGGAGCCAATGGGTCTCTGGACCCCGCTTGTCCAACTGCTCAAGCACGAGGAGACCGAGATCAGACGTTACGCCGCGTGGGCGATCGGCACCGCTGTGCAGAACAACCCTAAGGCTCAAGACAAGGTATGTAACTTGTATACCTGGAGACCTATGTCTTCGTCCACTCAGAATGGAACACTAACATTAGCTAGCTCGTTCTCCTCAACTCCATCCCCGACCTCGTTACTCTCGCCACTACAGACGCCAACCAGGCTACCCGCAAGAAGGCCGTCTACGCCATCTCCTCCGCTGTCCGCAACTACCAGCCTGCTATGAATGAGTTGAACAAAAGCCTGCCGGAAGGCTACCCCACCGAGACCGACGCAGGTGACATGGACGCTGTGGATGCTGTTATGGACAAGCTGCGCGCTACCCCAGTTGAAGCATCGACTTGAACGAATTGAGACGAAATATGAAGTTGGAACATACCACACAGAGGCATTCAGCCTACAAAAAGCTTCCCCTTGCCAAGGAATCACTCGAGCGATGGCCACCGCGATGACTGCCTAGCAGTGGTGACGAAGTTAGGCTTCGACTTTTGATCATTGCATCGTCAACCATTGCGCAGATACCCGAAATGGTTCTGCTGGTTAACGTAAAGTTATTTGGCTGCCTTGGGCTGCCTTGGATACATACTTGATTTGTAACTTATTTGACTTGTATACCCTGGGACGATCGTCCTGCCATTTATCATGAGAATCGAATTATGATTATGAGATTTTATCTAAAGTTGTTTGAAAGTATTGTATTGACGATCTAACTTAAGTAGCTACCATGACTTAGTTGCATGAACGAGTTCGGAATATATATCGCAGGTTTGGGTGCTATTTGCAGGGCAATGGAAGGAAGATATTGCCATTCAACTTTGGAATAGATTTAAAACATGGATTTTAGAAACTAAACCAGAAGGATTACACCCAAATATAAAATCAACCTAGAGTAAATGAAACCACACTGCGTAGCAAACGTTTAGAAGCCTACATAAGTAGCTCGGAACAACAATTTCCCGCAACATCGTCATCTCCCCAGCCCAGCGCCTAGCCATCCCCTCAACCACCACAACAATGGACGTTTCCAACAACAATCTCTTCCGCTTCTCCAAGCCCGAATGGCTGAATAACTCCGCCGTCCGAAACGGCGGCGTCTACGTCGCCGGCGCCCTGGTAAGCCCCAATGAACCCAGCTCCACCCGCACAAGCTAACATCCGCATAGTTCGCAGCTGGCTTCTTCTTCCTGATTGACGTGGCATCATTCTCACGTAGCCCGCGCAATGGTTCAGAAGTACATATCAAATTCGTCGATTGGATTCCCGGTATCTGCAGCGCACTTGGAATGCTGGTTATTAACTCGATTGAAAAGTCGCGGCTGCAGGCGGATAGCTTCAGTTACAGTGGGAGTGGAGTTGCGTGGAAGGCTCGCTTTGTGCTGTTCCTAGGGTTTGCGTTGTTGGCGGGTGGTTTGGCTGGGAGTGTGGTATGTTTTGGTTTCTTGGTTTGGTTTGGGGTTTGGTTGCTGATTGTTTGTAGACTGTTATGGTTCTCAAGTACCTTATTAAGGATTATCCGATTACGACGCTTTACTTTGGTATTGCGAATGTTGTGGCTAATGGCTTGGTTATGCTCAGGTATGTTTCAAGTTCCAAGTTGGTTCGCATGGGTCGTTGTCTTGACTAACTTGCTTTTAGCTCTATTGTTCTTTGGGTCTCGCAGAACATCGAGGATGATTACACCTACAACCTTGCACTGTGATGCGTGGTGTTTATTGCCTGCTTCAATGTATTACACTCAATTTCTTGCTCTCATTCTGTGTGAAATGAACTGCATGCACTCGCATTGCTCAAATTTAGCGCTACGGTACAATATATAGCACATGTCAAGTGCAAAGTTTGCAAAACATGATATTGATATTAGAAACAGCAAGAATGCGTGGGCTTGTCGATACAAGGCCACCCAAGCTTGATATGAGTAGGCTAAATCAGTTAGATAGAGTGGGATCAAGCCACAGATGGCACGCTCAAATCCCCCACAACGCCCAATAAATGCAGTCATAAGTCATTAAACGTCGCCCTTAATGGTCCTCACAGAATATCTTCAGCAATTCATCAATGCAAGTCATAGCCTTCTCCTTCTCAAGAACCACAGGTGCCCCAGGCAGCTTCAAGTACTTCCGCAGTGCAAAGGCCGCAGCTTTGTATGTGGCATGGTACATCGACTTGAATTCATCATCATCTGTTAGCGGGGCAGGCGTTTCAGCTCGAAGCTCAGGTGCAGGCGTTGCACCAGATCCATCGTCAGGCTCGGCACCCCTGCTGCCAGAGGTAGTGCGCATATTGGCACGATTGAATCCATACAAGCGCATACACGTTAATATGGTGCGCGTGATCAAGTTCTTGTTTTCTGCGATGACAACTTCAGGATCTTTATTTGGCGAGCTGGGCGTGGAAAAAGGCTTCTCATTAGAAAGAGCAGACGGAGTCTGAGCAAATGATTGCGTCCGACGCTCGAGGAAGGGATTCGGTGTTGGTGCCCGTTTCTGCGGATCGACATTTGCGGGCGTGGTGCGGCCGCGCACACTTCCAGGCCTGTGCATATTTGCACTGAGAGATGCAGAACGAGACCGATTAGAGGAGAAGCGATCCAAGGATGAGAGAGAGGGGAGATCGTCGTCTGGTTCGCGCTTGATGCGGAGCGATTGCTGATGCGAAGAAGTTGGCCGTGAGGGTGCCATTAGCTGGGAGACTGCTTCGCCGCCGCGCTGGCGGACACGGCGGTGGTGCTGTGCTGCTACTTCGAAGAGGGTTGCGACTCGTTTGCGCTTGGGACTGGGCGAGTTTGTATCTGGCAGGAACTCTGCACAGCGTGCTGAGTTGTCTTCATCTGGTGGTGGGGATGGGTGGGACTGAGCTTGTGTAAGGCGGGTGGTCGAGAGGGGCACAGCGTAAATCCGGAGGTCGTAGTGAGCCCGTGGCGCGGGCTGGGGTTGGATGTCAAAGGGTGATGAATGAGGTGGTGTTGGTGGACGAGGATATGATGCGTGTGAAAGAACTCCATAAACTAGCAAATTTGTTGTTGCGCTGCTTTTGGAGCTATCAATGCTAAGAAGCAGACCGACGGGGCATTGGATTGACTGTTGTAAATCTTGATCTTCTTCGTCCAGCCATATAGTACCAGCTAGCTTGCCTTGCAGCCATTGTGACGTTTCTGCGTGCGATGTGTGCAGCTCGAGATTGGGACCGGAACGTGCATGTAATGGAATTAGGGCTGGATTGACAAAGCTTCGGAGGTAAAGCTCCGAGTCTTTAGTCAACTCAGACTGCCAATATGAGTTTTGGTCGACAAGTCGAATTCCTGCCAAATGGTCAGCATGGAACATCAAGATGGCACGCGTCTGACTTGGTACCTTCCAACTTGGATTCCGAGTTGAGCGGAATGGACCCTGACCAGACGTTCATTTTGTATCCTGGACCCCGAAGAAACCTTTCAGGACATTAGCATGTTGCCAGTGAGGCTCCATATGTTGTTGTGCTCAGACCAATCTGCGGTTATCTCCGAATCTAGTGACGCGCCTAATCCGCGCGCGGTCACGTGCCCCATGGATCAATCGATATAAACGAACTCAAAGCGGAATTGAAAGAAAAAGAGTAGCTAGGTGATGACTATATTTATGCTGTTATACCAGACCATGGATTGCCAGAGATTTCTATATCAATTGTGCTATAGTACACCGAGAGTGTAGCCAAGTGTTTGATTCCTGGAAACCGGGTAACACCCAGCATCAAATCACTCGTACAAAACGTGTCGCGCAGATGCTGAAACCGAATAAAGTGTGAAAGAGAAACAGATATCATGAGAAGACTTCATCCTGCGAGTCCAAACGGGTACCAATATAATTCAAGGTGACCCCGCACCTTCAGATAATCAGAACTCCTCCTGCTCTTGGAAGAACATTGAGAAACTAATGATAGTGCCATAAATCAAAAGACCGCCAATGATGGACATGATCATGGCGGGGAGCTCGATAGCGCCGCTGTGAGCAAGGACGATGGGAAGTGCTGTATCGAGTTAGTATAGGGTTTCTTGGATGCCTGTTGATGGCGCATATAGTGCAGAGCTCAAGCTCGAAAAGACGCTTTCAACGACGGTCTCTCGGGACATGAAGTGCCACCAATCGAGGGGTTGTATCATGCAAGAGGGGTCTTGCGGAACGAAGACGTACCGATACCAGTCAGGACCAAAAAGCCAGTCATGAATCGCCCAAAGTCCATTGCGGAATTACTCGAGCTATCCATGAAGTCATCTGGATTGGCGCATCGCTGGCAGATCCAGTTGGGGAGGGGCGCAATAACATAGATGGCGACCACCAACAACGGCCAGTACTTGTGCCATAACGCGGAGGAGAGGATAACGAGGAGGAAGCCAATGGCGAGAACCTAGTCAAATATTAGCAAGTGATGTAGGGTTTCAATAGAATGCGACATACGAAGGAGAGTGAGATGATGGTCTTGAGTCCAGCAGCCATGATTGCGGAGACGTTGAACGCCGATGAGACTAGAGACGGGGAAGATGCCGGATAAAACCAGTAACAGTATCAATATAAGATCGGAGGGAACAGCCCCATTGACCGAGAGCAGAAGACCAGAGAAAGAGAGTATACCGGAGTGAAGCTTAGAATCCCCCAAGTGACGTTGGCGCCTGGAAGGTCACTGGATATTGTTGCCTCAGGCCTCAACAGCTCAATGCTTCACACCGCGTCACTTTACTGCCTGGTCCAGCTCCCCCATTCTCCCATCGATTATCCCTCTGGTTCTTGTGTTGTGTTGTGATATCTCATTATCAACGGAAATCCCTATAATCCGTCCATACCTCCGATTCATCCGTCTCCACGATGTTCAGAAACAATTACGACAACGACGCCGTCACCTTGTAAGACCAGCTCGACGTCCCCCGGATCCATCAGATACTAACTTTCAGATAACAGCTCCCCACAGGGTCGGATATTCCAAGTCGAATATGCACAGGAAGCAGTGAAGCAAGGATCCGTTGTGGTGGGATTGGTGAATAAGACACATGCCGTGCTCGTTGGACTCAAGGTTCGTCGCCCAGAACCCAAACCAGAGCTTCAGACTAACCCCTCACCAGCGCAACGCAGAAGAGCTCTCCTCGTACCAGAAGAAGATCATCGAGATCGACTCGCATATGGCGATTGCCATCGCCGGTCTCGCCTCAGACGCCCGCGTTCTTTCAAACTTCATGAAGCAGCAGTCCCTCGGCTCCAAGATGACCTACGGCCGCCCGATTCCTCTCGACCGAATCGTCACACAGATCGGAGATCGCGCGCAAACCAACACTCAACACTACGGAAAACGCCCATACGGTGTCGGCCTGCTGGTGGCTGGTGTTGACGAGGCTGGCCCTCACCTGTTTGAGTTCCAGCCTTCTGGATTGACGCACGAGATGGTGGCTTGCGCTATTGGCGCTCGCTCACAGATGGCACGTACGTATCTGGAGCGGAACCTCGACAAGTTCGAGGACTGCAGTCGGGATGAGCTGATTCAGCATGGATTGAGTGCGTTGAAGGAGACTCTGTCTCAGGATAAGGAGCTCACGATCGACAATACCTCGGTTGGTGTTGTCGGTGTGACTAATGGAAAGAAGGAAAGCTTCAAGCTCTATGAAGGCCAGGAAACGGCTGCGTTGCTCGAGGTGTTGGAGCAGCGTGAGTCTGTTGGTGCAGAGGGCGAGTCAATGGAGGTTGATTCATAATCGTCCAATTTGGCTTAATGATTCGCATAGACATGAGATATTGAAACTTTGTGTGTGCTTGCTCGATTCACTTCGTCAATTCATAACTCTTTTAATAAAGTACTCTATGTATATTTATGCCCATGGTGCTAAACGCAGACGCAATCATCGAGGCGGAACGATGCCCATGTATATGCACGCATGAATTCCAGGAACCTTTACTCCTGACCCCAATCCAGCTGCATCCGTCCGTTGCTAGCCCGATAGGCCAACAGCTTCGGCCAAACCTCGCTAACCTCCTTGGCCTCAGCCAGAATCTCCCCATTCTCAGCACTGATGTACCCCTCCTTGACAGCATTGCGAACCCACGCAAGAAGACCATCCCAGTACCCATTGATGTTAAGCAACACAACCCCAACCTTGTGAATACCAAGTTGATTCCAAGTGGTCATCTCCATAACCTCCTCAATCGTCCCGAAACCACCAGCCAAGGAAACGAATCCAGATCCAGGGCCACCTTCCAGCACCTTTGTAGCCATCAGACGTTTCCGAGTATGCATATCAGGCACGATAGTCGTGACACCATACTCGGACTCGGGGATGCCCTCTGCCTCGACTGTGTCAACGACCCGCTCTGCGGCTTTACCGGCGGCCGTCGAGCCGGCGGTGCCCTGGTGTTCGCGCATGCCGTTGACTGTGGCGACTTTGACGAGTGCGCGGGGGATGATGCCGTGGACGGCTTTGGGGCCTGAAAGTGAGACTAGAACCCGGGCGACTTCGCCCATGAGTCCTGTTGTGCCACCGCCGTAGACTAGCTGGACATTGTTCTTGTGGAATTCTTCGGCAAGGCTTCGGGCAGCTTCCATGTGCACTGGGCTGTTTCCTGACACGGAGCCACAGCTGGGAGCTCGTTAGTTGAGGTCTTGGAGGGGTGATGAGGGGTAGTTGGTAGCTTTGTCGATGGGGACTTACAATACACAGACGACAGCTGGTTTCTCGGAGTCTGACATCTTGAGACAATTGAGATAATGTACAGGCGAAGTGTATAGGTTAGGGCACTTAAGGTGAAGAAGTAACCACCTGGGCAGAGTGACTCAGTGGGCCGATAAGCTGAGATAGCGGAGTATAACGTCACTTGCGCCAACTTGCATATTTTCTCTACTTCACTACATTCGAAAGCTGTAATAGAGACCCTGTGAACAAGAGAGAAATATACTAACTACGGACTAACATATGGCCTGGTCATAGTTGAGAGGTATTTATCCGAAGACTCGGCTTAACCTACGATGTAGATCTATAGATGCCCTCGAATAACAAAACACGGAGACACTTAAGTAGTTTGCACTTAAAGCGAGACTCTCTGTAACTGCGATTACCTTTCTGGAAATTATGGCTTGGGAGTAGACTACACAAAGGTATGAAACATACCCTTGAAAAGACATCCCTGGATTTAGAACTTAAAAGGTCTCAAAGAGTGCCCAGGTGGATGGAGCAAAAGCACCGAGGGTGCTGCATACTTTGGCGGGGTATAGTAGAGATCTAGGCCATGACTTCCATGGAGACACTATAATACTGAAACTCTTTCACAAGCAGTTTGACCCCAGGCAAACATGGGTGTTCTCTGTCATAACTTTAGCTGGTAGCTGTGACTCGAGATGTTGGCTTGAAAGTACCTTTGTTCCAGTAGTATATGGCTTCAACAATCGAGACAAACCATGCCCATCGAGACTGCAAACTTCGATTTATAACAAAGTCTTAATAGACGTTCAGATAATCTGTGGTTGCCAATTTCAAGGATCATAGGTATGTTGGTCGTAAAGCCGGCAAAAGCCTATACTCAAGTGCTCAAGTAGTGGAAGTCTAATGCCCACTTCCTTTGTTTGCTATTTTGATTCATTGAACGGTGAAGGAAGGAAAGTTCAGATGGCATAGCCTAACAAACATATCTTGATGGTCTTGTATAAACCAACTCTTACTCCCTCCATATCACAGCCATATCCAACCTTCGACCACCATGGAGAACAGGAACATATCCCCCGAGGCTTATTCGGGGATGCCAGTCACATATACCAATCCCTGTCCCGCTTCTGAGAAGGCGCCTACTAGACCGATTCCTATAGTCATCCCAAGGACCTTTCTATTTGACTCGGACCAGAATCAAGTGAGCTATGCAGAGTCACTCGGGGCCTTGTTGGCATCGGAGATTTCCAAATCTCGCATCACAAGCCAGGAAAAGATCGAGGTTCTTTCGGTTCTGGCAAAGATCAAGCCTTCCGTTGAGATCAGCAGCGCGGCCAGCATCAATGGCAAAACTGCATTGATCTCTGCCGTTGAAGCCAACGAGGTGGATTTGGTGACATGGCTACTCGGTCATGGTGTCGATATTGACGCAACAGACGACTTGGGTCGAAGCGCGGTCTTTTACGCCGTCTCCAACAACAACAAACACATACTGCGTAATCTTCTGGGCCGCGGTCCCCTTCTGAACATCCTCGACAAGTCTGGAAAGACCCTTCTCGAAGTGGCTGCTCATGATAACAAGCTAGTTGAGATCTTGCTAGATGCTGGAGCTGACATCGAGCTGCGAAACGGAAAGTGTCTTACCCTGCTAGATGTCGCAGTTGTTCAAAGAAATGCCGAGTTGGTCCTGTTGCTGGTGAATCGGGGAGCAGTTCTTCAGCGCGATACCTCCTTGCATATCAGTATGGACTCTTACCTTGTTGACCAGCCTACCGTTGATGGAAAAAAAGGCCCAAACAATTACAATGGGCTTCATATTGCGACATTGCTTGCGCCGGGTCTTACCCAGCCTGTCCTGTTGAGATTCCCGGCTTCTTTTGAGTTGGGAGAAGCAGCTGTGAATGATCTTTCTCCACTCGTGCTGGCTCTTGATAGAAACCCAGTTGACCCAGATCGCGCCTCGCAAGACGACTCTGCAAGCGATGAGTCCTCCACTGCAAGCGTCCCAGCAGGGGAATCCCAGAAGAAAGAGACTGGTGCCACACAACCACTTGTCCATGATGACATGGCACCCCAGTCCCAGGTGAAGAAGGACATTGCTTTGATCAAAGCATGTGAATCTCTCAATGCAGACTCGATCACCAAGCTACTTGAGCTCGGAGCAAACCCACATGCCGAGTTCCGTGGAAAAAGCACTGCCACAATCACTGTCTGTTCTGGCAGCCCTTGGACACACAATCCTAGGGGATCCCGCCGGTGCGTACAAGCTTTAATCAACCATGGTGTTGATCTGAACCGTCTATATCATGCCCGGCTACCTAGCATGCTTTCTGCGGCTGCTTTGAACCTCAAGCCAGGTTCGATCATGATGCTTGTGAATGAAGGTGCTGATCTCTTCCTTGGTGACTTTGCTGAACGGCTGCCCATTCACTTCGCCGCGGGCAATTTCTCCTTTGACGTCTTTGCAGTGATCCTCTCTCGAGCACCGGGTACCATGTTAGCCCTCGACTCGACTCACAGATCCCCATTGCACTATGCAGCACAGTTTGGTAATGTGAAAGCCGTGAACCTCATCTTGAACAAGATTGCAACAACCGAAGAAAGACGCAAGCATGTCAATCAACCAGATCTCGACGGATGGACTCCAATCTGCTGGGCTATTCGAGGCTCGAAAACCCACAGAACAAACACGGAGGCATATCTGGAAACGATGAAGTCACTGTTCAAACATGGAGCTGAGATTTTAATCCGATTCCCTTCTGGATCAGAGATCGAAAAGGGCGTGACCACGCCATGGCATATTGCACAACTCTACAGTGTCAGACCTCAGATCCTCGATCTTGTCCGGCGTGAAGCCGAGCTTGGAGCCCCTGGTTCAACTGTTGATGCAAGTTGGCCATCTTCAATCATGGGCTATAAAACGGAATTCGGAGATTGTGCTGTCTGTTTGTCTGTAAGTTGCTCTACGACCCCATTTGAATATTATCACGATCACTTACATGCCCAGGGGATCCATGGACACGCTTATGAATGTAAAATTGATGGATTGAGGATTTGTCACAAGTGCTACGGAATAAGACATTCATTTGTTTACCTGCGGCCCTTGACAGATGGCCCTGACACCTCCTACATCGTGGAGGACACATTCAAGCTCGTGGAGACATCAATTTTCCCAAAGCCTGGCTTGCATGTACCTGTCACCCCCCAATTGTTCGTAGGCCTTCAAACTCCAATGTGAACTCCAATGTGAATTCCAATGGCGGAGGACTTTTTGGTGGTAAGCCTTTGAATCCGAATTCCAATGACGCGGGACTTTTTGGTGGGTCTTCTCGTCCCACTGGCGAGGAAAGGGGGCTTTTCGGTCAGCCTTTGAATTAGTTTGAGGTCCGTGGCTTTCGTGTTGGAGAGAATATGACTTTGGTGTCTATGGGTGGTTTTGGTTGTCGAATATCTGAAGTGGTTTGGGCAACATCTTGCGTTCTTTCGTTAAATTTGATGGCATAATGTTCTCACATTGGCTTGAAATAACTCGCAATGAATCGTCCTTTCGGTCCTCTTCCGAGTAAAGAAATGTACTCCGCAAGGCCCAAAATGCCTTCATATTCAAACAGAGCCCTGTAAATGCATTCGATGTCCAGACCCAGCCCAACGCCAAAATACAAAAAGGGTATCAAGCATCTAAAGTAACAACACGCTTCTTCTTCTTCCCCTTATCACCACTCCCAGTAGATGGCGGGTTCTGTTCTGACTTCCCGGGCGTTTCAACCCGAACCTTGGGCGTCGAAGGCTGGGATGGCACTGGCGTGTTGACCCCAGCAGCAGCAACAGCAACAGCAGCAGCAGGACCCTTTGGTGCCGCCTTACTGGTAGGCTCACCATTCTTCGATAGCATGAAGGAGCCCGGTTCACCGATAAGCGGACTCTCATCCATGAACTCGTCGCCGTAGCGCGAGAACATACTAAATGATTCAGCGAGAGTGCGCATGTCCTGGATGCCCGATTCATCAGACCCCCCTGGCCCAGGGCTTCTTTCAGTTTGCGAATCTGGGGGTCCTTCTGGCATGGGCGTTGGTTCTTTGCTCTGCTGGGACTGTAACTGTGCTTCTTTTTCTTTGCGGGCACCGGGTGGCAGGTATGTGTGTCCGTGGGCAGATGTAAATGTTGGAAGGGCGGAAGCGGTTTTCATGAGTTGCGATAGAGAGGTTACGGCCGAGAGCTGGGAGTGGGTTAGATTGGTATGGATATGGGCAAGGGGTGACTTACAATTCGATTTCCTACCACGCTGGCGACTGAAGGGGCCATATAGACAGCGTCACCCATGATGAAATAGGTGGATATCACGACGACCTCGTCGTCCATCCCGGATCTCTTGCGCCGGTTTTGCTTTCGGATCACCCAGACGTTGGATGGTTCTTGGGTGAATTGGCCGTTTACTTGTGCTGTTGCTTGAAGGGGATCATATGAGACGATGAACTCGAGTCCTTGCATTGTCTTCAGCCGGGACTCGAAAGCTTCGCGCGTCTCTATAAATTGGTGGAACGCTTCGTTGTAGGTAGCTTGAATGGCGAGGGAGGCGTTGTTGGAGGTCGGATCAAAGAACGGTGACTCGGCAAAGTAGAATAGGACTGATGGACTATGATGTTAGTCTCTATATCTGCGCTGAACGGTGTCACTCACTGTTGTTTGAGTGGAGGAAACCCCCCATCGCCTGGACGTGCGGGGGAGACCGCCAGACGATCTCCTCCATTGAGGCTTCTTGGGCCGCCATTTGTCGCGCTTGAATGAGAGACCGAGGAATCCCGAGTCTCTTCAAAGTCGTGACAGCCTATTGGCAAATTTGAGGACCAGATTGAAGCTGTGAAGCTGGAGCGGAAGCTGGTTCGGAGATATAGGATGTTTGATGTGTTTGCACTGCAGCTCAGGAAGTATAGACTGGGGCACGTAGATCAGTTGACGCTTCTCTCTTCCCTATGGGATCAATTAAACTATTCCTAGGGTTCTTCTCAAGTTGGTCTACGATACTCTCCACTTTGTGAGAACCACGCTGGATCGCAGTCAATAGGAACCGGATATCAATGGATGTTCTTTCAAGCATAGCACGATCAAGCAGTCGATGTTGGTATGTACATCTCCATTGAATATGTCTCTAATAAGATGCAAAAAAGCGATGTGCAATCCAAAACGCCAGCGCTGAGTGTTGAACCGAATGTCTATCCCACACATTATCCCAAATGTTGAAAGCAAGGAGAAGCATGGATCATGATATGTACGACAAGTGCCACTGTGGAAAGCGAAGCCTTCCCAGTTCTTGTTTCTTTCCCCCTCCACCCAGAGCCATTCTCAAGGCACCCCAGCCTGTCTGTTACTCTTTCCGAGCGGCGTGAAAATATTGCAAACCACACGAAGTTTAGTCAACATCTCATCCCATTCTCCTTCCGCCGTACTAAGCGTGGTGATAGCACCACCAGCACCAATCCGCCAGGTCTGGAGCTTTTTATCAGTGTAATCCGATCCAGCCGAGCAAGTAAAAGCCGAACGAATCAATACAGAGAAGCTTCCACCTCCGCCAAGGTCCAAGAAACCCATCACTCCGGAGTAAATCGCCCGTTTGCGATTCTCGATTGTCCGGAGATGCATGCAAGATCGCTCCTTGGGCGCACCAGTCATAGAGCCCGGTGGCAGACATCGCTGAAGGGTCGTCAATCCATGAACAGCCATATTAGGCGTATTCAGCTGAGGCATGTGTCGCACTGCAAAGCCAAGATGATTGGGACGGATCGTGCCCTTGATGTGTGTGATCATTGAGAAAACGCGGCCGTAATCTGCGACCTCGAGTAACTTTTCGACGTGCACGCCGCCCGATCCACAGATTCCGTACAAGTCGTGACGAATCAGGTCCGCAATCATGAGATTCTCAGCCATCTCTTTGGTCGAGCTGAGGATCTCGCATGCTTTTTCCATGGTCATTCCTGGGGATTTGCGAACTGTGCCTTTCATGGGCTTCATTTCCAGCGTTGAGTGGCGGTCCCAGTTAAGAAAACATTCTGGACTGCTGCTGGCTATTTTAGTATCACCTAGATCGGCGAATGCGCTGAATGCAGCTGGGTTGTAGGTTTTCAGGCGTTTGTAGAGTTTCCAGGGGAAGGCAATTCGTGTAGACTCTTCTTCTGGGACCGGTAGAGTGATTGTTGTTTCGGAGGTTAAACACAGCTCGTAGGATTCGCCGGCCTCGAGTTCTGCTTTGCATTGCTCGATCTGCTGCTTGTATTTTTGTTCTTCTGGGAGCTGAATCTTGCTCTGCTGGAGAATCGAGTCCAAGACTTCATCGGTGTCAGTCCCATTAACAGGAATTGAGCACTCTTCAAGCAATTGGATTGTCTCATCAAGCCAACCCAGAGGAGCACGGTCGTCATCGCGAGTGGATTGAACCACAATATTGCCAGTTGTGTTATCGAGAACAATGCTTCTTTCGCACCATAGCAGACTGACATCCGGCGGGCTCTCTAAAGATTCAGAACGTTTGCCGTTGCCGTGAGGTCGAGGTGGCTCCGATGCCTGTGCAGTCGCTGGATGAGGAAGACAGGTGAGACCGAGCTCGTAAGAGAAGTATCCCAAAAAGCCACCCCAAAAGGGCACCTCCTTATTGCCAGAATCGACTTTTTTCATTTCCATCAAATATCGCAAAGCATCCCATAGCTGAACAACGGAGACACAGCTCTCTGTCACTTTGCAATCACCATGAAGCTGAATGAGTCGTAATTCGTGTGTTTCAACGTAATACTCCAACCGCCAGGACCCAGCGCTGGGCACAGAGACAATGCTGTATTGCCCATTTGATTGGAACAATACCGTCGGCGAGCCTGGTTTGTTGAATAGCTCGCTAACGGCTTCGGCTGTCAATCCAGGTCGCTTGAGAGATCGGGAATCAGAAACTTTGGACGTCGCCCTACTGAGTTGAAGCATTTCATACGCAGCATCTGGAAATGGGCTGAAAATAGTATTCGGGCTGATGACCGTGTCGGGAAGGGAGCAATACCCGCCGCGTCCAACAATCTTGTTGAACGACATTGCCATCTTCCACCAATTCTGAAGTAAAGTCTTGCAAGCCACGATATCTGATTTGCAGGATTCTGGATGGAATTGAACGCCCCAGAATGGCTTCTTGCGATGACGGACTCCCATGGGGATTTGCTTTTCAGGGCGATCCTCAAGAGCCAACCATGCCAGATATTCCAGATCAGGCGCTTCTGCCGAGGCGGAATTGGCATAAAGTGAGTGATAAAGAGTCACCTCTATCTCCGGTATTTGTTCAAAGATATCCTTGGAGGTAGTGGAGATTTTATGAATTTGGCCATGAATTGGATATGGCAGCCGTTCAATGGGGACGCCAGTGCGGAGACAGAGGCTCTGGAAGCCCAGGCAAATTCCAAACACAGGCATCAAGTCTGAGTCCTGCAGGTCCCAGATATCTTTCATGATGCCGACATCACTCGGAACATTAGGATCACCTGGTCCTGGACCTAGGACTATTGCCTCGAAGTGCTGGAGGAATTCGTTCATATTGGAGTCGGGCCATTGTGAGTCAATAGTTATGACAGTGACTTTGACGCCCAAGGTCTCCTCTAACATGGCCACCACATTGTAAGAGAATGAATCATAGGCGTCAATGTAGAGAATGCTTTTTTGAGACGAGCATGCATCTGATTTTGGTGTTCTGACAGGGTTATCCCAGTCGCCTAGCATTGGTACCATGGTGATGTGTGGGCTGATTGGCCCCAGTAAGATTTATGCAGAGTAAGGTTGGACAGAGCCGCTCATGGAGTGTGCGAGCGATGCGGATTATGTGCAGTGTTCAAGTGCAATGTTCAAGAGGAAAGATCAACAAGAGGCAAAACGGAAAAAAATTAAGGTTGGCGATGAAAAGGTCAAAAGCGGGTACCAACGGAACGGCTCCCCACCGGGTGGCAATGGCTGTTTACGAGATGTTAGAGTGTAGAGAGTTGAGAATCCAAGGTAAAATAAAGAATAGATCAGAATTGACTATTGGAAAGGGAGGCAGTTTCCATATGAGGTTGTTGGACCCGAACATGTAGGCCAATGCCCTAGGGGACCCGGGTAAACCCGTGAGCTTTATATGCATTCTATACTCGGAGATTTACCAACCAATGGGTTTGTTCTTCTACTAAACAATTCTTCATAGAAAGCTTATTTCACATTGAACAGATGACATGGAAAGACTACCTGTAGCCTTGTGTGAATCCATCATGGAATCATGGAATCTATCTAGATCAGGGATGGCACATCTGCGGGCGTTGCGGGCGTTTGCAGCGAAGCAATCTTAAGAGCAACCTTGGGGAAATAATGCGCAACGAAGCCCTCAGTGTAATAGCTGTGAGCCGAACTGTGGTCCCCAACCAAGTTATGCGCCAGCTCATGACACAAAATCACCCACCAATAGACAATGGCGTCCGTGGCGTCAGTAGACTTCTCCAAGAGCGCCTTCTCCTGCAGCGTTTGGAAATAGAAGTAATTGCAGAAGATACTGCCTGCACGGTTGAATGCAATTGTCTTGCCGCCCGGGTCGTAGAAGATACTGAGACTGTCGGCCCGCATGGAGAAAATGGAGCCGGAGTCAAGCAGGATCGACGCAAAGAGGTTGAACCCCGCCCGATTGGAGGCCAGGAAGGTGGATCGGTCTGCGACTGATTTGGTAAAGAGCACATTCATGCCACTCTTTGGTAAAGTTGCGACAAATTCGAGGTCGTGGCTTGGGCGCTCGTCGCAGTAGGATTTGCTTTCTTGGATTTGATTCGTTTCCGGTCGGCTGTAGAGATCAGAGGAGCCGTGGGGTCGGCATGCCTGGACAGCAGAGAGGAGCTCAGAGTTAAGGCGATGTGGTGAGTTGGAGGATACAGTTGGTTCTGGACGCTTGGTCTGGCTTTGGCCAACATTTTGAGGGTCGTCGGGAGAATAGGGTGGGGGCGGTGGTGTGGATGTTTCAGGAACAGGCGACCGAGATTGTCCCTCTGAGCCAGTGCTTTTATCCAAGCCGAATCTCTTGGAAAGATTGGCAAATAGGCCTCGAGTAGGGCGTTCTGGTGTGGGTTCTGCTGGAGGTGGGTGTGCTTCTGCGGACACGGTCTTGCTGTTAGGCGACTCAGGGAAGACACCGGGCATGGAGTTTTGTTGGGTCTGGGTCTGAGCCTGAGCCTGTGATTCGGCTCTCTCTTGTTCTGCCTGCTGGGCTTGGGCTGCTGCCCAAGCGGCTTCTCGCTCCTGCAGAAGACGCCTCTCCTCTTCGACTTGCTTCTGGCGTTTATCTTCTGCAACCCGGGCTTCGTGGGCCTTCTGTTTCAGGATACGCTGCACATTGTAACCACGAGCGCGCAGTTCCAGTAGATCTGTTTTTAACAGCATCTCTAGCGTCAAAGTCGAATGAAGCTTTGGTCGCTTCAAGATCACATGCGCCAACGACTGACTGACTTCATACAGGTCAAATTGACCAGGGCAAATGCACATGGTCCATCCGGTAGACAAGCGACTAACAATCGCATTTCGCTTCTGAGTGTGTGACACCCGTCGTCCCCTGAGAGATCTGGTCAAGTTGATTGCAGTCACGGTCCGGACTTGCAAGGAGTCCTCTAGCCAACGAGTGTCACGCAAGATCGAGTCCGAGGGCTGGTCATGGAAGAAGAGCCGCGTGCGTTCCAAAATCAATTTGTGCAGTTGATACGCAGATTTTTGATCAGGCGTTAGTTGGCCGATGCTAATTCTCTCCTCGACAAGCCCACTCAATGCAGTGGCACCAAGAGCAGTGTAAAAGTTCTCTAAAGGTTCTTCCTGGGGCGCAGCATAAATATGCTCTTTGAACAGATTGAAACTTTGGAAATCGTCAACCACGATAATGTCTTTGGCAGACGTCAATTCCCATTGTCTGATGTCCATTCCATCGTCATCTTCCTCATTGGGATCGTGGAGAGATGACTTTTCGTTTTTGGGTTGATCAATCGTGCGCGAGGGAAGATCCCGGCTGGCATAAAGGAACTTGGCTTTCCTCATATCCAAGAAAAGATCCTTGTCTCGTTTCAGAGTCGGGAGTTGTTCTGCAAGAGTTCTGAGAAGCATGAGATACTTCTCAGAGCTTTGGAACGTAGCTTTGATGCGAACCGGCTCCTTGACCAACATCCGTGCAATCTCCACGACGGAAGGCTCCGGCTTGGAACCAAGAGCCATAAGGAAAAGGTTTGCCACTTCGCCAAAATCGACGTAATCGAAAATTTCCTTGTACTGACCCCCTTCGCCAAGATAGCACAATTGAGGTGCCACGAGTCGAACTTTAGCACCTTTTTCGTATTGGCTCCGAACAACGACCGGGACAATTGGACTCTTTCCCGTGCGCTCCCTGCTTTGAGGGCTAATTTCCGAGGCTCTGCCCGCTAGATACTTGAACACGGTCCGGGCATCTGAATTGTTGGTAGGAGGCTGCTGTGCGAGAATGTGAAGGCAATCTGCCATAGGGGGATGGGGTTTGACTCCCAGTTTCAAAGCATGGGGATGCAGATTCTTTCGAAGGAGTTTGAAGCCGAACAAAGCCGCGCCGTCATCGGTGAAGCACTTTGTAGGCACGCTCAGGCTATTGGAGCCTTCAATAGGTAGGAATGGTACTGCCACCGCCCCTATATCAAACTCGGCATATCCATTTGTATGGTGCTCTGCGAGAAAGTATGACAGCGCTTTGGTGGCCCTGCTGTCCTTTTCTGTGCCCCCCGCGGCCATAAGTCGAATGAGTTCCACAGCGGGTGGATGACTCTTCAGCCCCATCATTGTGAGGAATTTACCCTCATTGCTATTGCTGTTGTAGATGCCAGGCCAGTCTATGATCGGTAGACCAAGAGAACGGAAAACATCCTTTGGCTCATAAAGCTCGGAGATCTTGTACCGGGTACCGTCAGAGATGCTTCCACTCTCGGCAGTACAGATACTCGTGCCTTTCAACCTCTGGATATCCTTTGCTGGAATATCCTCACGCACGGAGGTAAGATAACGAATAAGGTCAACGTGGTTCCATTTTCTTGGTGCAACTCCACCTTTGCTATCTTCCAAGGCCGGAGTGTTGATGAGGCGATCGAAGATGACACCAAGTTCCACGGTTTTACGGACACCAAGCGAAGTGAGAATTTTTTCCTTGACGCCATTGAGACCGTGGATAACGGGAAGGTCATCGAAGAGGCGCACAGAAGCAAAGTATGTCTCTGCAGGTTGCTTCATTCCAAGCCTCGTCGGGATCACTGTCTTGGGTTGAAGTATATTCACAACGTTTTGCTTGGACGCTGCACTGAGGACATCCCATTGCTTTGATAAGACAGGGAGAACCTGACCCGAGAAGGCGGCGGTCTTCGTGATATCTTGGTCAATGGATAAAACACTGCGATTTCCAGAATTGCTGACAATCCAGTGTACCCAAGGAACAACCTGCAGTTCGACCCAACCCAAAGCTTCCAGCTCCAGCTTACCCAATGACTTGGTGAAACGGAATGGAAGGACAGAAGGGGGTATAGGAAGATCTGTCGGAATGCGCTGGGGGTTCAAAAACTCATTGATATCTGCAAAGATAATCAGGCGAGTAGGAGCTCCCTCTGAATCCTCGTCGTTGGCCACTGCTACACGCAGTAAGCTTTGAACTGAAAGCTGATCCAATTGGCCAATGAGAGATTTGCGGCCAAGCCAGGATATGAATTCAACCACCTGGTTCGAACGCAGGGTATTGGATTCCAATTCGCGTCTGATGTCAGAGACAGTTATGTCTGTCACTAAGCCAAAGTCCGTCAGTCTCTTGACAAACTCTTTGGCGCCATTGACAAAATCATCAGGCAGAGCGGGAATCGAATCCATGAAGCTTAGATCCTTTGGAGCAATGCGTGTCTGATGACTTGGGATAACGCCACAGGTAGACAAAACCTCAATGGATGCGTTCTTGTTACACATCCAGAAAGCATCCTCGATTGTCTGACCCAAAACGGAGGATGGTGTAGATTCACGAAACACGAATTGGTTTGCAGTGTGGATTGCCTCTGGTAAAACGTCCACAATATCATCTTTGCGGACTTTGGTGCGAGATGGGCCAATTTTCATTGCCAATTTCGATTTGATCGTAGCCATCTCCGCAGACCAGGCAATTCGACAGACGATTCCTACAGCGCGTAGCATTTCAAGATTCCATTTGCTGATGTACCGAGTGTTGAGATCAATGCTCTCACGCTCGACAGTGGGAATGACAGATGGAGCAGAAACATGAGCATTTAAGCCAGTCGTCTGGGCTGTAGGGAAACCAATGAAGACCCTTCCAGATTTGGTAGGTAGGATAGACGAGAGAACTTCCGACTGAGACGAGGACGCTTCAGTCGCCATGCTCGCATCGTACGAAGGAGTCAAGATCGCAAGTGTAGCCTTCTTCGGCGGTGGCTTCCGGGTTGCTCTTTCTAACTCTTTCGCCAAGTCTCTACTGATCGAAGGCTGCAGAGAAGCTGTGTTGATGTGTAAAAATACTGATGCCGAGAGCATAGCGCTCATGTTACCAGAGTCCTCGGCACTTTCGAGCTCAGGCTTTTGGGCAGGCTGTTTCTCTGGTGCACTTTGTGTGAACTTGGAAAAGAAGCTTCGCAATGAGCTTGTTGTATCGCGAATATTGTCCAGGCGGAATATGCTGGCGTTGGGATTCCACTCGACGATTTTCATCCAAGACGCGTCAACCTGGGCAATTTCCCGAGTGACATTCACAATTTTCATGAGTCCTTCTGCCGTCTTGGTATCGATATCTCGTGGTATCGCAACATCGACGCTGGGGGCTGTTTTCTTTGAAAGACGAAGCAGAGTCCAATCATCCAGCCATAGCTCAATCTCTTGTAAAGAAACAAACGTTAAACTGCTAGACAAGAACTGGCAAAGTTGCAGTAGCGATGGAACAGGAGATGTATCATTCCGGTAGTCCAAAACGAATGTAGTGTCCGGGCTTGCAGCTTCGCCAAGGTCTAATCGGCGGGTGAACAGAGCATTGCCCTTCCAGTAGAAAGCCATAGCCTGATTACCCGACGACACGAAGGGCTCCTCGCAATCATCAAATACACTGTAAAAGCCAACTCCAAATGCACCAATCTTTGTCTCATCTGGGTTTCCATCTGCGATTCGCTTGAGTCTTGCCCAGTCTTTCTCGCTAAATGGGGATCCATTGTTTGACACGAGGAGGCGCCGTAGAGTGTGGTTGGCAATGGTGTGTTTCAAGTGTGCAGTGGGATCATTCGTTGTAGGCGAAGGTACTGTGGTTGATGGGATAGTTTCAAACTTTATCGTGACTTTCGTTGCAGATGCATCGGCGGCATTTTGAATCATTTCTCGTAGAACTGTCCTGTTGACGAAACGTATCTTAACATCTTTGCCTCACAAGTCCATGACAGGAACTTACCATTTTCCCGAATAGCGAGCAAGGACTTTGGAAATCAACCCTCTAGTATCTACTGTCACAGCCTCCTCATCGGCCCCAGACCCCATGGTCCGGGCCCTCAAAGCGTTGTAGTCAACCTTCACCGACATTATACCGAGATCTTTTGGTACCTGAAGATTCCGACTTGACAAAGTGGAAGCCGGTGCGTTTATCCTATCTCATGTCCTGGGAGAAAAGTGTGGTCCGATAACACGGGGGCTCTAGGCGGCCGTATGACTGATGATAGCGATGTAATGTTGAGATATTGGAGTGGTGCAGTATTCACGGGTATCGAGGAACGCTGAGCAAAGTCTAGATAACAATAAGCAAAGACTGTAGAACAAAACAGAGGAGCAAAGAGAGACGAGCCATAAAGTGAAGAAGGTCAAATGCGCGGAGACTGCGGAGGAGGTGGTGGCTTATCGTTATCGGATCCTGAATTGCCATTGCTCTCCGCCCTGGTCGGACCAGGTACCGGTACCTGAAGCCCAACACAAACAACGTGGCAACACAAGTACCCGCTGTATCTTGCGGGAGCCCGTGTGAGCCAACTACGCAATAATTAGATAACCAGGATCATGTCCGTTGTTGTTCGGAGCTCTCGACTCAGGAGTACAGCAGCAGATCTGGCAGTTAGCTGGTTGTTCGGTTATATTATTTGAGCGGGGTCAATATCGAAACTCCTTGCGTGGGAATCTCGGCTGGTGTTTAGCTCTACCGGATCTCATGAGGTTTGAGAGCTTACCAGCTCTGTGCATGCGGGCCTAATATCGCCAACCGTCAACTATATCGCTCCGAGCAGAGATGGGTGTCGACCCTCTATCTCCGATTGCGCCTGTGCGCCTCAGGGCGCTTCTTCTTCCCATTGGCAAAATCAAGCGCTCGCGATTCCTCAGTTTCGCTGCCCGTCTACAAGCCGAGAATGTAGTTCGGCTAGGGGATATCAGTCCAGATGCGCGGCCAAACAGAAGTACGCGAAACCTCCGATGACCACGAATTAAATGCGACAAGTGCTGATCTAGTCTTTTCCAGACATGTTCTCGCCGCTGGCATTTCCCACTGGATTGATTCTCTACGACCTTGCGTTTTCGGTCCCTCCAACCTCGCACCTCGAACTGTTCCCCTTTGAAATATACAGAGAGCCATTGGTAGTCATTGCGATAGCTGATGGAAAGGAGCTGCCGGCGAGCACCGGCGAGAAACAGAAGCATCCGACCCCCGAAGGCCTTGATCAATTGCTGGAAGACTTGAGCGGGGTGAGGGAGAGGAATCCGCGAGCACTGGTGAATCAACTATTGGTATTCGACTATGAGGGCTTGGACAAGGTCTCAAACGGCCCAGAGAATGTCCTTTGGGTCCCTCCGCCACAAGCATCCAAAGCTACTACGATGAAGACCGTGCTTTGCGATGTGACCGCAGTCCTACTCGCTGAACTGGACGAGTTTGCGAAGACCATCCAAGCGATCCCGTCAATTGAATCACCCAAGGCGTTTTCTTGGGGTCCACATCGCAACCCGGAGCTGAGGCCGCGGCCGGTAGACCGGCTACTGAATCGAATGACACTCCCCGCACAGCTACCTTCGAGCCCGAGTGGCGGCCAAGACACGCCCTTGAGCTCCAATGGTAGCTCTCCGGCTCCTAGTGACCATGAAACTCCTACCACATTTGACGAGATCACCCGTTCAATTCACCTGACCAGCCGCACAAACTCTGGCAGCAGAACTCCGTCAATAGCGTCCGCGAAAGAGCATAGCCGTGACCGGATGTCTGTTAGCAACATGAGTGCCACAGATAGGACAAAAAATCGGATCCGAGGCCGTGCCGGGGTGGTGATTGGTACACTGTTTCTGCAGGCAGGAAGGTGGCCAGATGCCTTGAAAGAATTAACGGAAGCGGTTAACAATGCCCGAGCAAGCAGTGATTACATCTGGCACGCCAAAGCTCTGGAGACAATCCTGCTTTGTTTGATCATGTTCGGCTGGGCAGGAATGGATTTCCAGGTATGTGGGCAAGATACGGCAGCATCGAAATTGCCACTGACAGACTGCCAATAGATTCCATCAGTTCTCTACCCAGTTGCCGATAAGTCTTCGAAGCCGTCTAGAGACTCAGTTACTCCCAGCAGCACTGGTAACCGAGTCGTATCCTTGCATAACTTGGCCAACCTCTTGCCAGACCTGTCAAACAATATCCTGAACCTCTATACCCGCGCCGCCAACATTACAGACGAGCCCTTACCTCAACTGGTCTTCTCAGAAACGGTCATCAGGTTGGCCAGATTGATGGTCTCAGCTCGCGTGCGTGACGGGGCTTTAGATGACAATGCTCTTAAGCACATCGTGATGAACGAAACTTTGGTCCCCTTGCTCCAACCAGAACTTCCTCGCGGAACCGTGTTGCTTCGAAAGGCTGAAATTGCCAACTTTTTGTACCGGGCTTTGCCGTTGGCTCCAGGCGCAGATCTGCCTGCTACTGATGCCGTTCCTATCATCGTTGGCGTTGTGTCTGTTTTGAACACCCTTGATTTGCCTAGGAAAAAAGCATTCATTTTACGCGAACTTCTTTCTGTGATGGTACCAAGTCTGGTCCAGGCGCGCAAGATTGGTGCCGCAGAGGTCGGTATACACCCAGCTGCTGGGTTGGCGTCTCTTAGCGATACTGCATTTGATGTCAACGCCCTTGACACAGGTTCTGGAAACATGGAGAGCAGCGTGCGTTTCCTCCTGGCGACCATTGGAGAAATCTATGGTGTACAGCCCTCTTCTTTCTATGAATGGGAGAAAAGAACCAGCCAATCTTCCGCAGTCAGTGGATTGCAGGAAGGAAGTGAATATGACTCTGTGTCTAGCATTGCCGAACGGGCCTTCAGACATGTAATTTTGGATCGATATGGCGATCTGAATTTGAAAATAGATGTTCTGAAAGCCTGCATAAACTGCTGCGAAGCACTTCCCGACTTCAATGGAGTTCTTCGCTTCACCGTTGAGCTCTTGCAGACCATCCGGGGAGACATCATGCTAGGAGATGGATACCGAAACCCGCCATATCTTCCACAAGACGAGCAAGTCCGTCTTTTGAACAACATCAAGCGAACAGTAGGTGCCGGATCCAGATTGGGTGCTTCGGAAATGGTCGCCGAATACTGGGATGATTTCCTGGTACGCGATGTTCAGTCACTGGCACTCCCAGACCCCAAGAGACCCATGAGGCGGACCAAGGCCGAATTGAGCACAGCCAAGACAACTTCCAAAACAACGAGGAAAGATCCATTCCTGTACAATCCCTTTGCAAAGGCCAACAGCAAGGCATTGGAAATAATAACAGTGGCTGATGAGCCTGCGTCTTACCGAGTCACTCTCCAGAACCCATATGAATTCGAGATCGAAATCGAACATCTGCGTTTGGAAAGTACCGGTGTAGCACTCGATGCCGTGGCAGAAAATATCCTCCTTCCTCCTCTATCAGTCCAGGATGTGGTCGTGGTGGGTGTCGCTCAAGGGGAAGGCAGCCTGAACATCACTGGTTGTATTGTCAAAGTTCGCCACTGCCGGATGCGAAGATTCCCCATCTTCAAGAAATTCTGGAAGCCAGAACCTGAGGTCAAATTCAAGCGAACAGGACTGGGTGCCAAACAACCTCTGACGGAGCGCCCGGTTTCCTGGAGCTCAACAACTTCTAAAGATGGCAAGGTGGATGTCAAGAAAGGACCCGAGGCAACTTCTTGTGAGGTTAAAGTCATCGCAAAACAACCATCACTTGTAATTGAATCAATGTCCTTGTCGCAATCGGCGATGATGGTTCTCGAAGGCGAAGTCAAGACATTCACTATCACGCTACACAACGCCTCTACATGTCCTGTGGACTTCGTTCTGTTCACTTTCCAAGATTCAACAACAAAGCAGCTGCAATCAGCACTAGCTAACAAGGATTTACTACCTGTTGAGACCTATGAACTGGAATTGAAATTGGCGACCAATCCGGCTTTGCGATGGCGCCGCGAGGGTGATGACTCTAGTGATTGCTCAATTGCAGCAGGCGAGAAGGCCAGTTTCACCGTCGATGTCCTTGGAAAGCCGGGATTGCAAGAAACCACAGTCCAGATCGACTATTCCCGGCTGAACGCAGCCCCGGGCGAATTGCCCGATGTGTTCTACACTCGCCAGCTGTTTGTGCCACTGACGGTCACGGTGAATGCGAGTGTGGAGGTTGCCCGCTGTGACATCTTACCGTTTAGTGGTGACTTCGCATGGAAAAACAACATTGAGCCACCAGTCGAGTCGGTTAAGGAATCTGATACGTTGCTCTCGACCGAAGAAAACGATCCTTTCTCTCAGGTTTTGAGCCGCCTCGGCAATGGAGCCTATGGGCCTGATCATTGTGTTGTGTTGGTTGATTTGCGCAACGCCTGGCCAAACCCAGTCTCTGTGTGGCTGCGCGTTAGCGAGCAGTCAATAGAGCCACCTTCGACAGAAGTGACAACCAACAGTGACACGACTGGCCAATATTCTGTTGGTGGAGAACTCCAGCCTGGTCAAACCTCCCGTTTTGTCCTCGTCCTGCCTCGCGTGTACCTTGACAACCCCCATGCTTCTATTCCAGTGGTGAATACTGGCACCAGAAGACAATTTGTTGTCAGCGCCAACAAGCTATCGTTCGAAGCCGAGGCAGCTTCTCGCGAGGCTTTCTGGTTCCGCGAAGAGCTCCTCAAGCGAGTTCTCGGGAGCTGGAAGGAATCAGCCACCAGCCGCGAAGGATCCATCGACCTAAGAAACATCAGATTGAACGACCGCATGGTTGAGGCGATGCGTCTCGAGGATGTTGAGATGACATTCTCTCTGACATCGCCATCTTCACCTGATGACTCTGAAGCTGTTGAACAAACCGGCCGTTCTCGCTTCCGCGTCAAGACTGACGACCTTCTCACGTTGACTGTGACCGTTCATAATCGCTCATCACGCCCCATTCACCCCCTCCTGCGTCTCCAGCCTAGCCTTCGCCACCAGCCAAACAATGTTGCACTGGATCTTACTCGACGCCTCGTTTGGACCGGCATGCTGCAGCAAGCCCTTCCCATTCTGCCAAGCGGTGAGTCTGCCAAGACTTCAATTGGCTTGACTGTACTTTGTCGAGGAGAATACGAATTCGGTGCTAGTGTTGAGGAGGCTCGAATCTTGCGGCCATCGGTCTCTGATGGCAATACCCCAAGTGCCGACGCTGCGGATCCTCATGATGAGGGTGGTATCAAAGACACGTTTGGTGTAGATGTGGTGCGTCGGCGACGTATTTGGCACGCAAAAGAACTGTGTATCATCCAAGCCAGTGACCCTTGATCCTGATGCTTGATTGTCCGCTTTGACTTGACAGACGTCTAAAGATGTTTGTCCTTCTTTGTTTCCTTTTCAATCTAACTTGATGACGACATGTAGCATACCCCGAATATCTGTACAATCTCTCATGATAAAGCTAGGCACATGCAATTTGATGAATACGATGTCTGGATCTCACCAAATAAACCTAGCTCAGTTCCGATTTCCCCTATTCTGTCTACGTAGAGGACCAGGGTCGATTCATCATCGTGTATGAGCTTCATAGTACTAAGCAAGTCCCTGCTCCAACGTCCGACTTCCCAGGGGCAATTCATTAGCCCAACTAAATCATCTAAGCCAACAGTTTCAGGAAAGACTAGTCTCGAAGCTAACTTCGGAACCCGCCTTGAAATGGACAAGGGGCATTAAAGTGGTCTTAAAGTGATAAACAAACCACTCCCATCCATATCCATAAATGTCGGATAAGCAAAACGACAATCAAGTACCGAAGTGATCACCACCTTGGCATTAGTTTAATCTGATTGAAAATAGCCCCAAGAGACGCGGAAACTGAAACTGAAAATGTCTTTTCGCCATGGATACTCCACAGTTGATTGCAATGACATGCAACTAGTCAATTAGCGTGCAGGGGTATTTGGGGCCGTCGGCTACAATTTGTGAAAATGGATGGATTCACCTATAGAACAGGATCAATCAGAACTAGTTTCCCGAGATGTAGACGGCCGATTTTTCTTAGGGCTGCGTGGACAGACAGGGAATCCACGCGTTCCAATTTTTTCCCTACACACGGATACTTTGCGCCCTGAAATTTCTCAAGAGTATTGACTATTTTCAAGAAAATACCGATGAAGACTGTTTGGACTATTTCTCTTGCTGGAAGCGCAACGCTCGCCGGAGCGACGTTGACCTCATTGCTCACAGCAGCAGCAACAACTATAACCTCTACCGTGACTCCAACGCCTGCTCTTTTCCAACATGAAAGGGTACAGTTGACGGAGGGCGTTCTTGAAAGATTTTCGGCAGTTTTGCAAAATGATACCGTTGCCAACATGTTCGCCTTTCCTCGCAACTCAACAGTATCCAAAAGCGATGTTTTGCACAGATGCAAAGTCATGCCAGGTGACACAGCCTGGCCCCTGGACACAACTTGGGATGTCTTGGATACTTTGCTCGGCGGAAGTCTGATAAAGACAGTGCCATTGGCGTCCTCATGCTACTCAGACCGGCCAGAGTACGATGCCACTAAGTGTGCGAGCATTACAACGGATTGGCTTTCCTCGGAGTTGCACATGGCTGATTCTGCTTCAATAATGCTACCGCTGTATGAAGGTCGCTCATGCTTGCCATCGCCGTATAACTATACGTCAAGCTGCGAGCAGGGCGCGTATCCGGTATATGCAGTCAACGTGACAACTGTGGCGCAGATCCAGCTGGCTATCAACTTTGCGCGCAACGAAAATCTCCGACTGGTGGTCAAGAATACCGGGCATGACTTCAATGGGAAGGCCTCGGGCAAAGGAGCCCTTTCTATCTGGACACATTATCTGAAAGAGAAGGAATATCTTCCAGCCTTCAAGGCTGCCAATGGATATCACGGTCCGGCCATTAAGTTCGGCTCTGGAGTTCAGGTCTGGGAGGCTTATGAGTTTGCTAAATCCATCGGTCACTCAGTTGTCGGTGGCGAAGCTGTCACCGTTGGGCTGGGTGGGGGCTACACCGCTGGTGGTGGTCATTCCCCTCTGTCTAGCATGTATGGAATGGCAGCCGATCAAGTCCTTGTAATGCAGGGTGAGTTTGGATATGTTTGGATGAAATCATACGACTAATTCTTCTTAGTTGTCTTAGCAGATGGCCGCTTCATCACTGCCAGTTCCACTGAGAATGCCGATGTCTTCTGGATGCTGCGTGGTGGTGGTGGAAGCACAATAGGAGTGGTCACCTCTCTGACAGTCAAGGCATTGCCTCAGCTAGAGACCACCACCGTGACGTTCAATTTCACAGTCAACGACACCCCGGGTCCAGATGCTTTCTGGGCTGCAGTTGGATCGTACTTGGACAATTTCGAGAGATTCGTTGACGCCGGCACTTACGGTTATTACTACATTGGTGCCTCGTCGGCCGAAATAGGCACAACATATGCCGGTGATACGGACTACTACTTCCGCATGGAATCTTTCCTGGCACCCAACATGAGCGTTGCTCAGACAGAGGCTCTCCTAGATCCATGGTTCAACTCTCTCAACGCCTTGAACGTCTCCTATACCCCGTGGTACAACCATGCGGATAACTTGTACGTGCACTGTTCTTTCATTCTTAACCCAACTTCGATACCCAGCTAAGCATTCTCACAGCCACGATGCCTGGGTGGTATCATTCCCCGAAGAGTATGTAGGGACCGACGTTGTCAAAACCGCTTCGCGTCTGCTCCCCCGAAGCGTGTTTAAAAACGACGATCTTCGCAACCAAACTTGGGCTGCCTATCAAGACGCCGTCGATCAGGTATGTCATGTCATCTCATCCATTGCTTCTTTCGTGCATGACTTCTCACACACCACAAGGGTCTTTTCATCGCCGGATTCCACATCAGCGGTACTGGTATTGCCGTCGAGCCTCCAACCGATACATCTGTATTGCCAGCTTGGCGCGATGCCTTAACACATGTTATCGTCGGCTCACAGTGGAACTTCACCTCTCCCTGGAGCGTTATCGAAGATTCCTCACTCTTTGTCACCAAATGGATGGATGTGCTACGTGATATTGCTCCAGACTCAGGCGCATACATGAGCGAGGCCGATCTCATTGAGCCGAATCTCCAAGAAGCCTTCTATGGCGTCAACTACCTGCGTCTGTATGCACTTAAGCAGAAATATGACCCCACAGGCCTTTTCTTCGCCTTGACAGCTGTGGGAGCGGAGGATTGGGAGGTTCAGACCACTGATCCGTTGCCCTACTCATGGAACAACAATGGCCGACTCTGCCCGAAGTCCAGCTGAGCAGTGATTTGAGAAGAATTACCGAGCCAGTCAAGGAGCGAAACCGAAAAAAGACCGATTTGATTGACTCAGGAATATAGAGGCATTTGCAGCCGAAGGCGCATCTAATTTATCATGCCCAAATAGTGAATACAGTTCTCTAATCTCATTAGGCCTCGCCAATCCATCCGATAGCCCAGAGTGCTGAAAGCTATCCCAATCCTGGAAGATTCAACCCTAAAAAAGCCAACTTAATGTTTCTTGTGTGGAGGATTTCGCTGCCATGTGAACAATGCAGCTATGAAAGCCACTGCTGCCATGTAAGTACACACCCGCATACTCTGACTGAAGGCGTCTGAGTATGTCTGTCGTACTGCTTGAGCTTCAGGAGCATCCAGGGTGTTCAAAATCTTAGTGGACGTCTGTAGTGCGCCAATTTGCTCTTCAGTCAAAATACCTTGCAGCTCTTTATGTGATTGGACGCGAAATAGAGCATTTGCAGCTGCAATTCCAATACTACCACCGAGGACACGAACTTGAGACACAATTCCCTGAGCCACGGCTGGTTTTATATTGTCAGAGAGGGGCTGGAACTCATGATAGGATAAGAACATACCGTGCAGGTGGGCAGTTGTTTGAATTGTCGTCAACAAACTGATTGTTGAGAATGTCAACCCAATTCCAAACCCGACAACCACCTCAAATCCATAAACCTTGCCTGGGATCTTGAAGTCAGCAGGAATAGTCGAGAGCAATCCAGCACCAAGAATCACAAAGGCAGTTGCGATAGCAAACGTGTGGAAAGTTCGATTCTTCTTGCTTGATGCCGCTCCGCCCAGGAATGAACCTACAGCCGTCGCACAAAGCAAAGGAAGTAAACGCACACCTGCAGCAGCTGGCGACAGGCCATTAACAATCTGAGAGCGAAGGGGCAGATTGAAGATAACAACAAAGAAGGTGAAGCCTGTGAACATAGTTGATCTACATCATGTCAGCATAACAGAGCTACCAGAATCGGAGAAGAAACCGACATGATTCCAGCGAGCATCACACGGCATGAGAACAGATCCCATGGGTATATGGCGGCAATTTGAGACCATCGTGGCCGCGAAAGAACAAACGACCATGTGAAAAGGGCTACCCAGCAAAGGCCACCGATCACTAGTGTCGAAACAGTCACAGAGCTGCCCCACGCATAGGTTCCTGTGCCGGCCTCATGAAGACCAAAAACTACTAAGACCGAGGCTGCGAGGAGTAGCAAGCTTCCGAGCAAATCGAATTGAGTGATCTGTTTGCGAATAGCATGGTCGTGGGATTGGCCTTTCGGCCAAGCAATGGCGAAGATTATCATGGGCACCACGCCACAAGGGGCACTAATTGATCTTTAGCACCTGCATCAGTACAGAAAGGGACCCACATACTTGATCCAGAAGATCCATCTCCACGAGGCATATTCGGTCAATATTCCACCCAAGATTGGCCCGAGAACACCGGCAATGGCAATTGTGGCCCCGACCAGTCCCGAAATAACAGGCCACGTCTTAGATGTACTCAACTCCAAAGCGATGATAAGAGTCAGTGCATACAGCCCTGAGCCACCTACACCCTGAAACGTTCGAAAAATGATAAGCTGGTGCAGCGATTGCGCGAATCCACAGCCAATGGAGAAAGCGATAAAGACAGTAAATGCGCCCAGCACGGCGAACATGCGACCAGTAAAGTCACTCAGCTGAGCAAAAATCACTGCGAATCCTGCGATAGGTCAGCTACTTCAAATGCCCGGGACTTGTCGAGTCGGCCATTTTACCAAGATAAGATAATGTGTATGCTAAGACGGTCCAGATTCCTTCCGCCAGGGAGCCAAACTCCATTGAAATCGTGTAAAGAGATGTTGAGACAATGGAATTGTCCATCATGGAGAGCATCAGCCCTACGCACAGACTGAACAAAATCAGTGACAGACGCCATGTTGCCAAAGGCTTTTGCTCGGTTGGGGAAATTTCATGATCGAGTGGTTCGACTTCTAGCTCGCCCATATTGAGAGTCCGAGTAAGCGTCTGCAGGACGATTGAAAAGTCAGAATTATTGAAGTGAGATTCTCCTCAAGGCTTCTTCACGGCCTATTTTGAGGTGATTTCTGTACTTCGAAGGAATCCACCAATCAGTAGCCAGAAAATAGGCCGAGACCCACTTATATGCAACTATATCGAGATTCAGGAAATAGACCCTCTGTCGGTGCTTATTTCTGAAGGATTTGCAATCAAAAGAAAAGGAAACACACATTGGTTTACAATCTTATGAAGTCGTCTGGTTCATTCCTCCTTTTCCCCCCAGATCATAATCGACTTGCTCTCTACAATCATGCGCGTACTATGTCTTCACGGCATGGGCACGAATGCCAACATTTTCCAGGCTCAGACTGGTACGTGAAAAAGCTACTGAAAAATAGTTTGCTCCTATTGATGAAAATCAGCTGCATTCAGATCTCTTCTCCCGGCGCATTTTGAATGGGAATTCTTCGATGCCGACCACGATTGTGAAGCTGCCGAGGGCGTGAGCGGCATCTACCCAGGGCCGTACCTGAGCTTCTACAATACCCCCTATACAAAACAGGTCGAAGATTCTCATCATTTTATTGATGAGATGATCGAACAAGAAGGGCCATTTGACGCGATAATGGGGTTCAGTCAGGTACAATCAAAAAGACCTCCTACACAGTAATGTCGTTATTGACTCAAAACCAAACCAGGGAGCCGCAGTAGCCGCATCATACATCCAAAAAGCCCAGACGACGGCTTCACTCGAGAGACCGCCATTTCGAATGGCTATCTTCATATGCGGCAGTCTTCCGTTCTCAACTGATAGATTAGCCGGCGTCGACGTTACCAAGATGTACGCTTCAGGCGGGGATATGCTCACTAGTGATATCGCGTATTGGAAGTCGTTCGCTGGTCCCAATGTACCCTTGGTCACACCTCATATCAACTGCGGACTAAATGGAACACTTACGGATCGCCATCTGGACCCGGATGATACTGTCCGTCGCTACCACCCGGCTGTCGACACTCGTCGCATCGAGATCCCAACTGTCCACATCTACGGAAGACATGACCCTTATCGGGCCCAGAGTATAGATTTGCAGGGGCTATGTAGTCCCCAGCAGGGCCTTACCCTCTCCTATGAACACCCCGGCGGACACAACATCCCTAGTACGGAGGCAGTCTCAAGAGAGATCACAAATCTTATTCGAAAGGCAGTGACGAGGAGTGAATTTATGTTTTAGGGTTTTTTGAAGTTGGTGAATGTCTATAGATATCGGTAGAGCCTCTCTAGGGCTATGTCATGACTTTTATGCTGAAAACGACAAGCTGTGTTGAACTTTAGCAAGGGTGAACCTTGAGCCCTAGAGTGATCTTCCAAGGCTATTTTAGAGACCATATCACCTTGGCAATTCTATAGTCTTGAATGGAACTTGGCACATCAGGAACAACCTTGGAACTTTAGAAGGAAACCAAAATACAAACGCGTTCTAAAGTTCCGGATCACAAAACAGACGAGTCTTTTGATATACCCGAGCAGTAATATATAAAGTCAACACATCTACAGTCATTCACACAAAATCTTAAAAGTTCACACTTCCCTCTTCAATTCTTTCGCGAGATATCCATCTTCACTATTCCATTATCCCAAAATGCGGGTTCTATGTTTACATGGCCACGGGACCTCGTCCGATATCTTCGAGACGCAATTGAGCGCCATCCGAAACCTCCTCGACGAGTCAGTCGAATATGTCTACATCGATGGGCCTGTTGAGAGTGACCGAGTCCGAGGCAAGTTAGCCCATATACTATACAAGAATTTCCCACTGACAATGGTCCGAGCAGGAATGAGTGAGATGGTCCCCGGCCCATTTTTCGGCTGGTTTTCGGGCTTTTCGCCAGCCCAGATTAAGGAAACGCATGCTCTCGTGGCTGAGGCGCTAGAGGAAGATGGTCCATTCGATGCTATCTTCGGCTTCAGCCAAGGCGCTACCCTCGCCCTCTGTTACCTTCTGGAACACCAGATCAGGCACCCTGATCAGCCGCCACCGGTGCATTTTGCCGTCTTATTCTCCTGCGCGGGCCCGGCCTTTTCGTCTGACACGAACCTTGCTCGAGATATCATCCATTCACTGGCGCCGGAGGATTTTGAACGTCTGCGTGTGGCTGAAGTGGAAAGTCATACTGAAGCCAAAGATGCCTTCTTGGCAACTATGCGCACGGCCCTGCAGCTCGGGGGCGACAATGGCTTTGTTGTTCCGGCAGACGAAATTGACCAATGGGAGCGAGTATCTAGCTCCACTCGGGAACAACTAATGACCCGCGTCTTCCATCCCTCGTTGACGGCGACGCGAGTCAAGATCCCTACCATCCACGTGCTGGGCGACAGTGATACTGCAGATGTGCTCGAACAGGCGGAGCTGTGTCGTGGTCTCTGTGATCCCCGCTCGGTGGAGAGAGTGGCGCATTCGGCAGCCCACGATGTGCCCCGAAAACCCGACGAGGCTCGGCAAGTGGCCGAAGCAATTCGTGCGGCTGAGGCGGAGGCTTGTCTGATGATTTATTAATTTGATTATTATTTTCCGGAAAAAAGTACCGTCGACTAACTCGGTCAAATTGCAAGTGCTTACTTTTCGGTGCATTTACTCGTATCTAGAGTATCCTAACCGTCTGAATGGCGTCGGCTGCAGAGGCCGCGAGATTACAGATTGGGGGCCGTGGAGGGTTAGTTCGGAGTTTTCTTCGGAAGTTTGCGAAGAAAACTTAGAGTAAGGGAGGTGAGGGAGATGGCAATTGGCGTATATAACGTGGAAGCCCGGGTTGGCTTCAGGGTTACAATCCAGGTAGACCATACAGATTGAAGTATACAATGTCACACACACAGAGAGATGAGGCCTTGGCCCAAGATGGCATCGAGCCTATGGCCATCATTGGTATGTCTGCCCGGTATCCAGGTGAAGCCTCAACACCAGCGGGCTTCTGGGAGATGATCAGCAATGGACGAAGCGCGCACACCGAGGTGCCTGCTGATCGATGGAACGCGGATTCCTGGTATCACCCCGACCAGGACCGCAAGGGCACAGTAAGACCGAGATGAAACTCATGATATGGGCCAAATATACTAACCATACCTCGCAGACCAATGTCAAGACGGGCTGTTTCCTTGAAGAGGACGTCTCACTCTTCGATGCTCCTTTCTTCTCTATGACTGCCCAGGAGGCAGCTGGTATGGACCCAATGCAGCGACTCATGCTAGAAGTAGCGTATGAGAGTCTGGAAAATGCAGGTATTCCCATGCAAAGTCTTCCCGGAACGATGACCAGTGTTTACTGTGGATGTTTCACGGGAGACTACGGCGACCTGGCCAACAGCGATATTTACGACGCAGCTCCTTACCAGGCCACAGGTAAGGGTAAGGCAATGCTTTCCAACCGAGTATCATGGTTCTTTGACCTGCGAGGCTCGTCATTCACCGTGGACACTGCGTGCAGTTCCAGTTTGTACGCTCTGCACCTGGCGTGCCAGTCCCTGCGATTGAAGGAATCAAAGATGGTGAGTGATCACAATTTGTGAAAACTGTGGTGTTCAGGGAAACGAAAACTGACAAATGCATCCTTAGGCCATCGTGGGTGGAACAAACTTGATCCTCACACCCGACATGATGCATTCCTTGACTGCGCAACGATTCCTCAGCCCAGATGGCGTCAGTCATTCGTTTGATGCCAGAGCCAACGGTTACGGCCGCGGAGAAGGTATTGGAGCGATCATTATCAAGCCCCTGCGTGATGCTCTGGCAGATGGTGATACTATTCGTGCTGTCATTCGTGGTAGTGGACTCAACCAGGATGGTAGAACACCTGGTATTACTATGCCGGCGGCAGCTGCCCAAGCCGACCTGATCCGTACTGCGTACGCTGATGCCGGCCTCTCCCTGGCGGATACTGGCTTTTTCCAGGCTCATGGAACTGGTAAATTATATCCCATCAACAGCACTACTGCCCCGTAAATTTGACTGACCTTTACAGGAACTGCGTTGGGAGATCCAATCGAGTTATCTGCGATTGGTGCCACATTTGGCAAGGCCCGTCTTCCAGACCAGCCTCCACTCTATGTCAGCTCTATCAAGACGAATATTGGCCACACAGAGGGTGCTTCTGGTCTGGCTGGTGTGATCGCCACTGTTTTGAGTTTGGAGCAGGGATGTATCCCTCCAAATGCTGGCTGGGAGACCTTGAACCCAAAGCTGCGTCTCGACGACTGGGGCGTGGCATTGCCACCTAAATGCATCCCGTGGCCGACGGAAGGCCTGCGAAGAGCTAGTGTCAACTCGTTCGGGTATGTCATCCCAAATTAGGATCCAGTGTGGCCAAGAAAGAAAACTAACTGGTGTAGATACGGTGGTGCCAATGCGCACGTCATTCTTGACGACGCGTACAATTATCTCACCAGCCGGGGACTGGCTGGCAACCATCAAACATCAGTGATCAGTCCCCTGCAAGAAGCTGATTCAGGATTCAACTCTGGCGAGGCATCTGGCGAAGCATCTGAGAATGAAGATTATAGCGAAGATTCGGAGAGACAACATCTCTTTAACTTCTCGGCATTTGACCAGCCGGCCCTCAAACGTATGGTGGAAGTCTTTGCCGACTCAATCGATCAGCAGATGAAGTCTTCCAAGAGCATGACTCCTGCACAGGAACTGCAGGTGATGCAGAACCGTATGCAGGACATGGCCCACACTCTCGCAACTCGCCGCACTATCTTCAGCTACCGCAGCTTTGCCACCGCTAGCTCGCTGGAGGATCTCGTCGAGGTCCTTCGCGATGGACTGCCAAAGTTCGGTCGAGTCTCAAAGGCAGACAATGTGATTTGGGTTTTCACTGGCCAAGGTGCCCAGTGGCCGACTATGGGTCGGGAACTGATCTCGCATCTGGCTTTCCGGTCTAGTTTGGAGAAGACACAGGCCGCTTTGGAGAGCTGCGGTTGCTCTTGGAACGTTTTTGAAGAGCTCAACGTGACCAGCAGCAAGCGGCTGGATAGCCCTACTTTCAGCCAGCCTATTTGCACCGCTGTGCAACTCGGGTTGATTCATTTGATGAGACACTGGGGTGTGCAGCCCAAGGCAGTGATTGGTCATTCCAGTGGTGAAATTGGTAAGTTGACCCTGCAAGCCTGTGGATGTTCCATTGCTAACCAAAACAGCTGCGGCATACGCTGCCGGTGCAATCTCCCACGAAGACGCCGTCAAGATTGCGTACCATCGTGGAGTTTACTCTGCTGATGTCGGCAATCGACAGGAAGGCCTTTCTGGAGGCATGTTGGCCGCTGGACTGAGTCCCGAAGAAGCCCAACCGTACCTTGATCGCGTTGTGGAAGGATCTGCAACAATTGCCTGTTACAATTCCCCCAGCAGTGTTACCATCTCCGGAGACCAGAGTGCCATTGTGCAGCTCGAAGCTGAGATGAAGAAGGATCAGAAGTTTGCCAGACAGCTGCGTGTTCAAACTGCCTACCACTCTTCTCACATGAACCTTGTTGCAGATGACTACAAGACCGCCATGGGTGACATTCAGCAGTTGCCCAAGTCCACCAACTCTGTTGCTATGTTCTCTTCCGTCACTGGCGCATTGATTGACCCGTCTGAGCTGGGTACCTCATACTGGGTGCAGAACATGGTTCAGCCGGTGAGATTCGCCGAAGCTATGAAGTCGCTTCTGTCCTATGCGCCTGCAGCCAGAGGCCGTCGCCGTGCCACTCCAGTGGAATACAGTGCTGTCGTTGAGCTTGGACCCCACGAGGCCCTGAAAGGACCTGTCAATCAAATTGTCAGCGACTTCAACAGCAAGCTTGCGTCCACTATCACCTACACTTCTGCCCTGAGACGTGGTCAAGATGCCCAGGCGACGGCGCTCGAGGCTGTAGGAACACTCTGGAGTATTGGACACGCCGTGGACATGGCCAAGGTCAACCACATCGACGAAGAATACAAACCCAAAGTCCTGATTGATTTGCCTACCTACCCATGGAATCATGACAAGGGCTTCTGGCACGAGTCATACAGCAGCAAGTCCAAGCGATTCCAGAAGTACCCCAGGACCGACCTTCTTGGAGCCCCTGTTCACGACCAGAACCCCATGTCGCCTCGTTGGAGAAACATTCTGCGCATTCCCGAGAACCCCTGGTTGCAGGACCACAATATTCAAGGCTCGATTCTGTTCCCAGCCGCTGGTATGTTGGCCATGGTCATTGAAGCTGCGAAGCAAATCGCAGAGGACCGGAACCCTAAAGGCTTTGAGCTGCGCAATGTCCGATTCGACCGCGGACTGGTCATCCCTTCAGCGGAACAGTCCATTGAAACCACCCTTCACCTGCACCCATTGGATGCAGAGGACGCCGAAAAGGCATCATGGTACAAGTTCCAGCTTTTCTCCTGCTCATCCACTGGATCATGGACGGAACACTCCTCAGGAACCGTAAGAATGATGTGGGAGAGCAACAACAGCGCAGAAAGCAAGTCCGAGTGGACATCTTGCCAGGCCAAGTATTCAGCGATTCAAGAAATCTCCACCCAAACCAGTGTTCGAGCTTTCTACAATGGTCTTGATGCAGTGGGTATGCACTACGGGCCCAGTTTCAAGAACATGACCGAGGCCCATGCCCATGGTGCAACCCGCTCTGCGCACGGAACAATCACTATCCCTGATACCAAGAGTGTGATGCCGAATCAGTTTGAGTTCCCTCATGTCATTCACCCTGCTACATTGGATGCGATGTTCCATCTTCTATTTGTCGGTGATACTGGTGGTAACCCCATGCGGGAGGCGTTCGTTCCCGTTTCGCTGGAGCGAATGTTTGTTTCCTCTGACATTACTTCTGTTGCTGGGGTTGAGCTCAAGGGTTACACCCAGTGTTGTTCGAAGACGCAGCGTGAGACCGTTGGAACTGTAGTCATGTCCGGTGCTGACTTCACCAAGCCCGGTCTAACGATTGAAGGCTTTGTTGCTCGCGAGGTCAGCTCATCGACTGGACCGGTTGAGCCCATGAACTCCATGAGCGAGTCGCAGGCTCCCAAGCGAACTGGACATCTTCACTGGGTGGAGGACATTGCTCACTGGAAGGGCGATGCTGTTGTGGATAGCCTGAAGGCTACCCAGCGGATCACCGCACAGATGAGCAGCTGGCTTGAGCGACTGTGTCACAAGGAAGCAGAGCTCAATGTGCTGGTGATCGGCTCCCAACTAACAGAGGTTGTTCGCCAGTGGGCTCCGATGAACGGACGTCGCTTCTGTTTCCGGAGGTGCACTATCGCTGCGCCCACACAAGCTGACCTTGATTCCATCAAGGAGGCTCTTTCAGACAAGGAATATCAGGTGGAATACATGAGGCTCGATCTTGCCGAAGAGTCGACCCCTGAAACCCCTCGTTTCGATCTCGTCTTGTCTAGCACAACTCCTCAAGTCGGCTTAGGCCCGGAGAAGAGTCTGGAGTCCCTCCAGTCATTGCTGAACCCTGCCGGTCGTGTCATCTTCGGAGGAGATGCCAACTCAGAGCTGGGAGATGTTTCGGCATGGAACAAGGCTCTCACCACTGCTAGCTTCGAACAATCCCAGGTCTATCACAGTACCGCAGACACCACTATGATTGTCTCATCTACAGCGGAACAAGACACCGAAAAGCCCAAGGAAATTGCCATTCTTGAAGCTCCCGATATGACTCCTGCTCTCCGGACCCTCAAAGCAAACATTGAGGAAATCGTTCAATCACAGGGCATTGCCGTCTCAACTGTCAAACTGGAGGACAGCTCCAGCTTCACCGACAAGTGGGTGATCTCTTTGGTTGAAGTCGAGAAGCCTTTCATCATGGGATGGAGCGAGGAGAACCTGCAGCAGTTCCAGGCCCTGGCTACATCAGCGGAGTACGTTCTGTGGCTTACTCGCGGTGGACAGCTCTTGGACTCGCCGAACATCGACTGGAGTCTGACCACCGGTCTTTTGCGTACATTGCGCGTTGAGATGGCGAAGCTGTCAATTCCTCACCTGGACCTATCTCCCAAGCTTGATCTCACCTCTTCCCGTGCTGTGGAAGTTATCATGTCTTGCTTTAACGCCTCGTCGCCAAACAAGTCATATGAGCCTGAGATGGAATATGCCGAGAAAGATGGCACCATCTATATCCCTCGCTTCAAGAGCAACAACAGCTTTGACCATGAAATTGATCGTCACTCTGCTCAATCCAAGTCTTTGATGCAGAAGCTTGACGCTCAGGACCGGGCTTTGAAAATCTCAACTGGAAAGACGGGTCTTCTGAGCGATCTCCGTTGGACGGACGATGAGCTGATCAGCACTTCTCTCGGGGATAATGATGTCGAGTTTAAGACCCAGTACGTTGGTCTTGAACAGGCTGATGTCACTGTTGCAAAGGGCTCGAGCCAGTGCACTACTCTTGGTCGCCAGGCAGGTGGAGTCATCACCCGAGTTGGCGCAAACGTCACTCGCTTCCAGATCGGCCAAAAGGTTGTTGCTGTTCGATCTGAGGCCTGTCGCATGTTCAACCGCCAATCCCAGGACTTTGTCCAGGCCGTGCCTGACCATGTGAGCTTGGAGAATGCGGTTGCTACATTCAGAGCGTATGCCACTGCGTATTACGCGCTGGTCAATTTGGCCCATTTGCAGTGCTCCGAGACTATCCTCATCCATGGTGCTGACGGAGAGCAAGGTAAGGCGGCTATCCATCTGAGTCGCTACTTCGGAGCAAAGGTCTTTGCTACCGTGGGATCTGAAGAGCAAAGAGAAATCATCGCCAAGGAGTATTCTCTCCCGCAAGATCGCGTCTTCAACTCGAACAGTGGATCTTTCGCTCACTCCGTGCTCCGTGCTACCAATGGTGAAGGTGTTGATGTGGTTCTGAGCTTGGTGGACCACGACTCTGCGCCGCAGGAGCGTCTTTGCGTTGGCGATTTCGGCCGCTTCGTTGGATTGGCTGGCCGAGGTAAGAGCTCTCTTTTCTATATGCCAGATCAAGCTAACATGATTTCAGACCACTCTTCCTACAGTGGACTTTCCACTATGCAGCAGAGAAACGTCGTCTTTGCCACCCTCGACATGGAAGTAGTCGAGAAAAGCCGACCTCGCGTGGTATCGGACATTCTGGCGAAGATCGGAGCACTGCTTGATGCCGACCTCATCAAATCCATTCCCGCCGCTGAGATATACCCCGTATGCGATATTGAAAAGGCTTTGGTTGCGATTGACAAGCGCATAGCCACAGGCAAAGTTATCTTGGATTTGGCCGATCAGTCACCCGTGCCTGTGATTCTGCCTCGACTGGCCTCCCTCCAACTCGACCCTGAAGCTACATACATTCTCAGTGGAGGTCTCGGAGGTCTGGGACCCAGTGTCGCAGAAATGATGATTAGCCACGGTGCCCGTCATCTGGTGTTCCTTTCTCGCTCCGGGTCCAAGTCCGCCGAGGCACAGGAGCATCTCCGTCGGCTGAGTGGGCTGGGATGCAAGGCAGAAGCATTTGCCTGTGACATTGGTACCCTTTCTTCTGTGGAGTCGGTGCAACAGCTCGGCACAGAGAAGGGGTGGAAGATCCGTGGTGTCGTGCAGTGCGCCATGGTTCTGCGGGACAGCACATTCGAGAACATGACACACCAGAAATGGACCGAGTCCATTCAACCCAAGATTTACGGCAGTTGGAATCTGCACCAGGTGTTCGGTAACCAACCTTTGGATTTCTTCATCATGCTTTCTTCTGTGTCAGGTGTCATTGGAAACCCAGCTCAGGGTAACTACACCGCTGGAAACACCTACCAGGATGGATTGGCGCTCTACCGACACCAACAAGGCCTCCCCGGTACTGCACTTGCAGTTGGTGCGGTGATGGACGTGGGTGCTTTCGCTGACAACTCCTACTTCGAGAACTTCCTTGAGAAATTCGAGCACCTGGCATCCTTGACTGTCAAGATCGAGGAAGTCATGATTATTCTGCAGACACTGATGAAGGGTCAGACTGAGGATGGAGTGACCGTGCCTCCACTTTTGGCCATGGGTTTCACCGAAGAGCTCAAGCGTGATGGAAACATCACAAGTCTGTGGCCTAAGGATCGCAAGTTCGACCACCGTATCGAGCTGCCCGAGGATGGTGACGCCAACGCTGGTGGGGACAAAGTGCGCCTTGCCGATCTGATCGGCCAGGTCACTGATCTTACCGAGGCAGGAAAGGTGGTCGAGGAGGCCCTGAAGGCTAACCTTGCAAACGCCATGACAGCCTCTCCAGAGGATGTTGACGCTGACAAGCCACTCCACGCCTACGGTGTGGACAGTTTGAAAGCCGTTGAAGTTCGCAACTGGCTCTTCCGAGAGTTGAAATGCGATATTTCTGTCTTCGACATTCTCAGCCCCATGTCATTGGCTAAGCTGAGTGTGAACATTGCTGAAAAGAGCAAGTTCCTCCCTGAGAGCATCAAGCGAGGAGACCAATTTGAGTAATTTGGCCCCAACTAAGCCAAGGGATTTGAAGCTATAGATAGATTGAGAAAGGAAAATGTATTGACCGAATTAGACAAACCAAGCCCTAATGTCCCGGGAAATCCTCCGTAGAAATGTATAAAGAGCAGTCGGTCCCCCCCTGAGTTTCTCTCAAACCATCGTTTCTTTTATTCCCACTCCCCATCCCATTCTATATACCCCCAGACATGAAAGCCATCAAGATTATCGGGTCCCGACGGGCCAAAGTCATGGCCAGGGTTCCCATGCCCGAGCTCGCCGGGGACTGCGTCCTGATCAAGACCATGGCAGTTGCCCTAAACCCTACCGACTGGAAACACATTGATTTCATTTCCACCAAAGGCGCCACTGCAGGATGTGACTACTCCGGGATTATCGAAGAGATAGGATCAGACGTTGACCCGGCACATGGGTTGCAGGTTGGGGATCGTGTTGCCGGATTCAACCACGGCTGTAAGTATATCTTCCCGGCTTGGATTCCCTTGCTTATTCCTTTTAGGCAATGGAGAAAACCTCTCAGATGGCTCCTTTGCCGAATATATCGCCGTCAAAGCGCATATCAACATCAAGTTACCAGATTGGATGTCCTTCGAAGACGGTGCGACTCTAGCCGTGGGGATCACCACAGTTGCACAAGGAATGTACCAGCAGTTGAGATTGCCTTTGCCATCGCCGACGGCTTCAATCACCGCGGCCGATGACGCACAGCCAATTTTGATCTATGGCGGTAGCACTGCAACTGGGACACTGGCGATCCAGTTCGCGAAATTGTATGAGTCTGCTTGTATTCATATCGACATCTGCTAACGAAAGGTCAGATCCGGATTCAAAGTCATCACCACCTGTTCCCCGCATAACTTCTCACTGGTGCAAGAGCGAGGAGCAGATCATATCCTCGATCACAACTCCCCAACCCTCGCGAAAGATATTCGCGATCTTGCAGGGAACGAACTCTGCATTGTCCTGGACTGCATCACGACCGGCGAGTCCATCATCAAATGCTGCGATGCCCTGGCACCTTCATCTCCGAACAGGAAACTCCAATACTGCGGTTTGTTCACCGTTGGTGCTTTGCCTCGGTCTGATGTCGAGGCTGGGTTCACCATGTCATACACAGCTTTGGGAGAGTCGTTCCAGAAGTGGGACAACTATTACCCTGGAAGCTCTGAGGATGCTCGGTTCGTTGGGGACTTTATGAAGTTGACTTCGAAGCTACTTGAAGAGAGGAAAATTCAGAATCATCCAGCTGAAGTGGGATCTGGGTTAGAGGGGGTTTTGAAGGGATTGGATCGTCTTCGGAAGGGAGATGTCAGTGGTGTGAAGCTGGTTTATTCCTTGTAGTTTGCAATTATTTGGCAAGAACACATACATATCCATTATAAATCTGGGGTATTCCTACTTAAGTTATCACAGGAGATTTGTATTGATCTTAAATAAAGTCATCACTTCTTACAATATTCTCTTTAAATCTCGACAAAATTCGACTTGCGAGGGGTTAGGGTAAATGATACACACACACATATACCGTATAAACTCCTGTGCATGAATTCATCTAATCCTCCTGATCCTGCCCATCCAAAACCCAACTTTAGAAAACGCAAACCTTGGAAGAGCACACAGAAAGTCTACAGGTGCTCAAGTGAAGTGTAACAACAATAAATGCACCCAAAGACAATGACTCAAAACATACTTAAGTATATGTTTCCAAACAAAAAGACTCCAAACCCATGTCACACCAATTCCAAATCGCTCCAGATGCATGTCGTTCTATAGTTAGTTTATCAATCATGCCCCGTAAAATGTAATTCGTAGAGGAGACGCCTTGCATTCTGAACAGACAATACTGCCTGGCATTGTCGGCTTTCAGGGGTGATAGCAGCGTCATCGCCATGCTACCTGACGGTCGGCTCGGGTAGTGCGGGGAGAAGAGATAAAAAATGTGACTCGACATGATCAGATGTGTCGGGAAGGTGAGCATTATGAACGAGTGCCGAAAACCTCCCGTTGAGGTGGGATGGTTGGTAAAGTAGCATCTCCATCATTTGATTTTGACGCCTGATGTTGTTCTCGATCCGATCGGCCGCAGACCTGGAATATAATTAGATGCCTGTACTGTATTGTTGATATTTTGGAAATGCTCACCATATACAGGTGTTCAAGATTAGATTGATGGCAGCGGTGTGGGCCTCGAGCTTTTGTCGATAGCGGGTCAACGACTCTTCTCGGAAGTCCCACATGAACCTCCTCCATTGCGATTTGATTTTGACGAATCGAGCATTAGAACCACCCATCTGAGCTGAGCTTGGCTCTCTTATTATGTCACGGTATTTTGCAGTTGCTCGCTCCAGATCTTCAAGGACTGTACAGCACGAGCGAACCATGAACCCAAGATTTTGTTGTACATCAACGGCGTGTGGGTTTGGGTTGCAGTTCCCAGACGACATGACCTCGACGGCGTTTTGTAGGTGACTGAGTGAGCAGCTCAACGCCATGAGTACGTTCTCCAGCTCTCTGAGGTCACGTGGTGCGTTCTTTCGACCAATCGTTGCAGCAGTGAGCAGCCGATAAGCAATTTGGCTACAGAGAACAATGTCGCCAACCGAGAGGCTGGCCATTTTCGAGAATAAGAGAATGGGATGATATGGGATTAAAGCGCAGTTGAACTGAAGAATTTCAACAAAATGGAGTGGTAGATTTATACTGTCAAGGAACTGACTACGTAATACACGGTGTTTATGTACGTATTCCAAAACAGACTAGTGAGATGCCGAAGGGGGAATTCTTTTTCAATTTTGAACAGAGACTTCAGGAACAAATTAACAAAATAACTGCAAAACAAAAGATATCTCCACTATGACACGACGTCATAGACAAACTTCATAGAGTACTACGGGGGTGGAGTCCTTGCCCCCCCCCCAAATCGACCTATCACTTGCTGTCGGTGTCGGGCTGCGCAACGGCAAGAACTTTAGAACCAATCAGCGCACGAGGTTCCAAATCCCCTAGTTGGGTGCAGCATTCGGTGATTGGCTGAAAAGCCCAAGTTCTAAAGTTCGAGATCATGATATCAAGTCTTCCGAGTCTGCCTTTGGCCAGGCTGCATCTTGGTAGCATTTGAGAGGACGATTCCTCACTCTTGCGTTCTAAGTTTGAATCGTCCTCAGGTGAAATTGGAAACACCAAACTCGTGTTATTTTAACACCGCACTCTGTTATTCAAATGGCTTGGGCTGATTTTGTGGCGGGCCTATATAGGGAGCTACTTAAGTAGTCTATATTGGTGCCCATATACTGTGAATTTTTATGTCCATTCAAGATGCCTAGGTACACCGGAAGTCATCTATGGATAGATAAAAATATATTTGCCGTTGATCATAAATCATTCGCAGTCCCGAAATCAATATATCCCAAAAAAGCCCCTAAAATAAAAATGATAGCGTCTATCTTCTCTGCTGGTAACTTTTGGTTCGAGCTGATTGTTCTGATTGTTTTCTTAGAAACGCAGGTCCCAGCCAATTTGGGGGCCGATGTTTGGCAACTCGTCAGCGACAGTCTGCACGTCCTTGTCTCCGCGTCCACTGAGACAGATCACGATATCCTTACCGGGACCCAATCTCTTGGCAGTTTGAACGGCTCCCCAGATTGCGTGGGAGGTCTCCAGTGCCGGGATGATACCCTCAAGTTGACTGAGGAGACGGAAGCCCTCAAAGGCCTGTGCGTCGGTAGCGCTGATGAATGAGGCACGACCACTCTCCTTCCAGCTCGCAAGCTCGGGTCCGACTCCAGGGTAATCAAGACCAGCGGAAACAGAATGGGTGTTGGAGATTTGACCGTGTTCATTCTGAAGGACGTAGGTTCGAACACCGTGGAGAACACCCACGGAGCCACCGGTCAATGTAGCGGAGTGTCGTTCGGTTTCCAGACCGTCTCCACTGGCTTCAACACCGACAAGCTCGACAGAGGGATCCTTGGAGAAGGGGTAGAACATTCCAGTGGCGTTGGAGCCTCCTCCAACACAAGCAACCACAGCGTCGGGACTCTTGCCCAGATCGCGAAGTTGACTCTTGGTTTCTTCTCCAATGACACTCTGCAAGGTGCGAACCATCGTCGGGAAGGGGTGAGGTCCGATGGCCGAGCCGATGATGTAGTGTGTAGTGTCCAGGCGAGTGATCCAGGCGCGGAAAGCCTCGTTGACAGCGTCCCGAAGAGTACGCGAGCCCGATTCAACTGGAATGACGGTGGCACCGAGGAGACGGATACGGAAAACGTTCAAGGCCTGGCGACGGACATCCTCTGCACCCATGTAGATAACGCACTTCATACCAAATTTGGCACAAACAGTAGCAGTGGCGACACCGTGTTGGCCTGCTCCTGTCTCGGCAATAATTTCGGTCTTACCGAGGCGACGAGCGATAAGAATCTGGCCAAGAGCATTGTTAATTTTGTGAGACCCGGTGTGGTTCAAGTCTTCGCGCTTCAACCAAATGTTTGCACCGCCCGCATGTTCGGTGAGCCGTTGGGCGAGGTGCAGGCTTGACGGACGACCCATGTAGGGATAGAACGATCGGAATTCATCCCAGTATTTCGGGTCATTGATGGCGGCTTCGAAGCCAGCATTCAGTTCATCCAAGCAAGTGATCAGAGCCTCTGGGGCATATTGACCGCCGAAATCACCAAATCGGCCCAAGCCATCCTTGAAGTCAGATTTCTCCTCGGTGACTGACTCAGATCCAGTGGCTCTCGCCACTTGAGAAGCTGCGGGGGCTGTAGTATCCCGGGCAACCTTCCTTTCTGTGATCTCTGAGCAGTACTCCTCAATGACCTTTGCAGCTTGTCCAGCTGGGGCGTTGTTGAGAACAGTAATGACCTGACTACCAATTACAGCGCCATCGGCAATCGAGGTCACACTGAGGAAGTGCTGACGTGTGCTAATACCGAAGCCAACTGCCACCGGCACATTACCGGAGAGATCTTTCACGCGCTGGATCAGAGCAGGTAGCTCGGAGTCAAGGGTGCCAGTGGCGCCAGTCACACCCATGCGGGACACCAGGTAGATGAATGAGTCAGCCATTTGGCAAAGAATCTTCATACGATCCTCGGTGGTCGATGGGGCAATCAATGGAATATAAGAGAGTCTGTGAATGTGAGAATTGAGATGAAAGATGTTTGATTGGAGCTTATTTCGTTGACGTACCCTGTCTTTGTGCAGCCCTCACGGAAGCGGATTGCCTCTTTGATGGGAAGGTCAACGAGGATAAATCCGTTGACACCCACCTCTTTGCAGTCTGCCAGGAGTTTAGATTCACCGTAGCGCAGAATAGGGTTGTAATAGCCCATGAAAAGCACCGGGGTCTTCAGTCCATGTTGGCGGGCATCACGGACCATCTCCAGCATAGACGAGATGGTGACACCATTTTCCAGCGCCTTCAGATTGGACTTTTGGATGGTTGGTCCATCAGCAATTGGATCAGTGAAAGGAAGACCCAGCTCAATAATGTCTGTGATGATGTTAGTTGAATGTGTCTCATACTAAAATCTCCTCCGTGGCAGTGACTCACCGGCACCTCCCGCCTGCATGCCCAACAAGATATCGCGGGTCTCTTCCACACGAGGGAAGCCGGCTGTCACATAAGTGACGAGGGCCGGACGACCTTCTTTCTTGCATTGAGCAAAGGTTTGTCGTAGATGTTCCATTTTGAGATGAGGTGATGGAAAGGGAAAGTGAAGAGTAGAGAAGTCGAAGGCCAATGAAATAGGCGCCAAGACTTCCGTGGGTCAATTCGCCCCCAAACTCAGCAAAGTGGGGCGAGCGACATCGGCTGCTCTGTTCTCGTCGCTGATTGGTGCGATCAACACGGGCCGCACCGGCTGGGCCAGACTGTCCCTTTTTGCTCCTTTCCTATGGCTGCCGATCAAGGACAGAGCCTCGCTACACGATATTGACCAGCTAATCACTGGCTGGCGCGGGAGAATTCTTCAGTTATCTCGCTTATTTGGCCCCCAAGCTAATTTCAACGCCACACCATACGGGAAATGCTGTTACATTCAAGCTTTCGGCTATGCCGTGGCCTGATATACATAAAAGGGCCATGTCAGCATGGCAAGAAGGCCAGTTGAACTTTGCCCAAGATGGTACCTCTCGTTCGCAGTGCGTGTGAAGAATGCCATGAGCGGAAGACTCGTTGTCTAATCCCTCCCCATGGAGGTGCTTGTCAATCCTGTGTGACTTCCCAGCGCCAATGTTACTTCCTTCCCAGACAAAAGGCGGGCCGCCCACGGAGGGGTAGTCGAACGCTATCAAGTACCTACACAAGCCGACACAGCACACCCAACCCTCTTCCAACCCCGCCAACGGAAAAAGAGGCCACCGAGCTGTCTCATGATCATGCCCTCTATACGAATTCCTCCTTACCATCGTTTTTGAACCATCCATTGCCTACGACCGACACTTCTTTACCTACCGACCTGCCAAACTTCAACAGCACCCCTCTCCCCCATACTTCCATATTGCCTGAATATCTCATGATCAATGACCACATTGGCTTCCGACCATCTCAAAGCCATGGCCACAGCGACAGTGGGTCGTCATCCAGCCCGCCAACAAACTCCCTACGTGAGGGATCCGTGTCGGGTGGATTTCCGAGAATTTGCCCCCCTTGGCCCGAGGCATTCTCACGTTATGGGGACAACAAAAGCGTGGATTGGGATCGTTGGGATCGATCCTCAGTTTCCTTTGCAACTTTATTACGGAAATGCAGTGAGCTTGACCAGGCGGCTGATATGCTGAAAGACCAAGACCAACGGGCAGCCCTGGCACAGCATCTCGTTCTCATCCTCCGCGCAATCGACGCCCTGTGTGACGTGTGCGCAGCTTTCGTGAGCGAACATCCACCGCCTTGTTCCAAGAGTCTACTGGACCCGGCCATTTTGGCGCTGGTGATTGCGGCCAATTTCAAGGTCTTGGAGGTCTGTGGACTACTGGTCTCTATCACAGTCTCTGAAATGCAGAGGCCTCAGGATCAGTTACTTCTCAAGCGCATCGATTTCAGTTTGATGCAGACTCAAATTGCATTGACTGCTATGAAGGAGCAAGAAATGACTTCGCCGTTAGTCTTTCAGACAGCGCTTGATCAGGCGGCGTGCATTCATCGGCAGATCATAGTCATGACAGAGGGGTAGACAGTCAGCAGTGAACTTGAGCTAAAACTATCCCGGCACTCCCTTGTCGGGCCGCAATAACGGGTGTGGATATCGAGAAGACCACAGCTAAACAAAATTTACTTTGGCCCCTTTCAGGTACCGCCAATGCTTTCGCTATACATACCGGATTTAGCTTAACTCCATGCATTGGACAAGAATACGATAAGATCCCTGTTCCTTTCTAGCGTGCGCCCTGGCCATAATTGGATGACGGGAGAACTGAATTAGATGGTCTGGCTGTCAACTTTCCATTCCAATTTGGAAGCCCCGCAGGCCCAAGGCAGCGGACGGGATTAATGATGAACTGAATGAGGAAATCTCCCGCTAGTTCGCATCGCTCAGACTGTGAAGATTGCAAACGAGCCAATGAGGAAAAAAAGAGCTAAACTAATTCTGGCACGGTCAGAGCCCAAAAAACCCATTGTCCTATTGGTGGTAATAGAAGAAGTGGCTGCGCTAAGTGCTCCGCTGCGATACCCACGTTTCAGTCGACGAAATTTAGCGTAACTAAGCAATCTCACTCGATCAAATTTGCTGTGCTGAAGAAAACCTAAGAAAAGAACGGTGGATTGTCCAGGCGATATCATTCAAAGACTGGTCTATCATAACGTTCACGCTAATTCTCCTGAAACGACCGGATTGACTTGAAGGACGTCTTAAGCCCATGAATCTTTTTAGATTATTTTCGATCCGCGTGTCCTCCTAGTGGAACGCCTTAATAAATGCACCGCTCTAAAATCGGCATATTATAGGAGGCCCAAGTGTTCAAGCAAATTAATTTCTTTCTGCAAGAAAACCAATTTGGTCCGAAGTCGCCCCCTTGTTGATTAGCAAGTGTATCCTTGCATTTCATGAGGCACTCATGTTGGAAAATCCTGGGGCTGCAATTATCTCAAACATAGATTCAGATATGGCGAGCTCTTCAATGGGCAAAGGTATTTGACCCGATATCCGGAGATATTCATCTTCACAAACCAGCTCTTGAGAGAAGCACATCAGGGCTTGTGCTTGACTCTATAGCAGACTGCTGGCACCATTCATCCTGCGGTCCCCCTGAAATACATGATGAATTTCCTGGCAGTCATACTTCAGTTGCCGGATGACCTCAGTGAGGCTGAAGTGACCACAGGGGTGGAAAATGCTTCACATCAATCACAGTGCTGGAGAATTCGTGGCTTTAATTATGCCCGTGCCCGGTAAGTTATGCATCATGTGGTTCCAAAGTACCGGGATTCTGGTCATTTCCAAGGGGTTGAGGCTCTGTAAGCCGAAATGCTTGCCGGCGATCAGTCCCCGGATCCATGCATTTATACAGCCCGGGCCAGCCCGGGCTCTAGGGCTGTAATATTCACCAAATTTTCACGAATTCCTTGATTGTTCCCAAGCTCTGAGAAACCTGACGCCTTAACCCACTCTGCGATGAAATATCTAGATCGGGAATTTGATAGCGACTCTGCGTCCGATCCCGAGGCCGGGCTGTTAGCCTGTATCCCCGCGGCATCCAGGGCTCTCTTGGAGTATTGGGATGCGCAAAGCGATGGCCTGGCGTATATGGAGATTGCGTCATCAGATGCACTTCTCACTGAAGCACTAGCTTAGCCAGTTATTTCCACCCGCCTTCTTCTACTCGTAGTGGGATAGGTGAAATGTCGAGGTGTTAGGACTGATCCGAAGCCGGGTGAAGTCGAACGGCTAAATGAAAATTGCCGAGCCCATGTCGCCGATCGACTCGGGATTCTGCCGACGCGGGGTGAGATCGTTCATCTGTTACCTTTTGAAGGCGAGCCAATTGCCGAAACTGATTCTGATTGCTCGCAAATTTTGCAGTCACAGTCGGGACACGCGGGAACATCCGACATTCCTCAAGGAATACCACATTGCAGAGAGACCTTAACAGGGATCATCATCCCGAATACCCCATCAAGCAACGAGAGCCAGCGATCATCCAAAACTAAGCCTTTTTAACGGCAGAGGCTTGACTAAGACTCAATTTCGGAGGGGTCCCGGTCCAATCACCCCACGTTTTCGGCATACGATGTCGTTGTGATCAATAGCCGCCTCGCTTCTGTCAACAATTATGGGGTGCACATTGGAATTTGGAGCCTTTGAGGCAATTTGTTTAACCCCAGAGAGTCGGATGATGTCACTTTACCCTCTGCCCCCGCGGGGGTCGTTGGAAATTACCTCGTCCATTTGGCTATATAGAGGATCGGATTCTCCCTATGGGCACTGTTCTTTCGGTAGGGGGTTTTTTTTTCGAACCCGAGCGGAAAACCAGCATCATGAATTTGTGGCGGTTCGCACTCTGTATCACCTTAGTCAAGGCCTGGGTGGTCAATCACGGCACAACATGCACTCTGTACCCTGAATCTCTTACCCACCACGGGCAAGAAGTTGACGATTCACCTTCTATCCAAGAAGCCTTCGATACCTGTGGTACAAATGGAACAGTCAGCTTTACTGACAATGTCTTCCATGTCAACACCGTTCTGAACACAACAAATCTCCTCAACTGCGACGTTTACCTGCGTGGTGAGCTTCGACTCTCCACAAACATTCCTTACTGGAGGACACACGCGATCAGCGTGGTGTTGCAAGACCAAGTCACTGCCTGGCTATTCGGCGGGACAAATGTGAACTTCTACGGCCAAGGCGGTTTTTACAACGGCCAGGGCCAAGCTTGGTACAACGCCAACCGAAATGAGTCGAACCAGCCCGGTCGACCCATGAGTATGACATTCTACAACTCAACCAACCTCCATGTTGATGGGTTGAGTGTGATTCAGCCTCAGTTTTGGGCCACGTTTGTCTGGGCCAGTCAGAACGTCTCATTCACCAACTTGTTTGTGAATGCCACAAGTGACAGCAAGTGGGGTACCATGAACTGTGATGGGTATGACTCCTGGCAGAGTGATAACCTATACATTGAGAATGCAACCATTATCACTGGCGACGACTGCATTGCAGCTAAGGGAAACACAACGAACCTCTACGCAAAGAACATCTACTGTGAAGGAGGCACTGGTATCACAATTGGGTCCATCGGCCAATACCCCGAGACACCCGACTACAACCTGAACACCACATTCGAGAACGTCAAGATCAAGAACGCCATGGACGGCGCCTATATCAAAACATGGCAAGGCACACGCATTTATACCCCCAGCAACGGTGACTGGGGTGGTGGCGGAACCGGTCTGGTGAAGAACATCACTTTCCGAAACTTCGAAATGGAGAACGTGGGATTGCCCATTCAGATGTCTCAATGCGTTTACTCCGCCAACTCCGATAAGGGCTGCAACACCTCAAAGCTGCAGATCGAAGATGTCAAGTGGGAGAATATTCATGGTACTTCTCGTTTCAACATCGCCTCTTCTATCTATTGCTCGGATGAACGCCCTTGCCCGAACATCACTTTTGATCGTGTCAATATCACCAGCGTGAATAATACACGTCATCTGCCGTATTACGGCACGGATATCCAGCATCAGATTTTCCAGTGCACCAACATGCTGGGGCAGAACGGCTCTGGCATTCCGTGTAACCAGGCTGCTCCTAGCAACTTCAGTCAATGGATTTATGGAAACGTGGACAGCTCGGGTCTCGCCACTTTGACTTGATTATTTTTCTAATAGGTATGATGCAAATGCTATCATTAGGGTTTCCAACCTTGAAAGATTGCATCGGGGCATGAAAATTATAAATCAAACGAGTTACGTTTTATGATCATTCTAGATTACAATGCTTTCAGCAGAAATAGAAAATTAATCCCTTCTTCTTTGGATGTTTTTGCTAAGAGTAAACATTGAAATATTTGTGTATAAAGAACCAGACCTCGGGAGCTCATTGTCCCGGTCATTCTCAGTCACCAGTTGACAACCAGATACCGTCTTCTGTGTATAGGTGATCTCTATCTTGTTGTATGTATCGAGCGCCCGGATCTACCGGAGGTTGGGCATATGAAAGCAAAAGGTATGTAAAAGACTTCAATATAGTGGCGTGGCGAAATGGGTTGACGATCGTGGGGATATGAGAAATATGGTGTGACCGGATGTGCGAAATAAACCAGTGGCCATTCACTGACCTCGGGAACAACTCAGGAAGCAATGATCATAACCAAAAGCCCGCTGACTTATCGCTGGGCCATGGGATCACGAAGGGTGGCTGAGAACTTCACTGAATCCGAGCCCGGCCGGCAGTTCATTCAGTCCAGGAGTGGCCCAAGGCCAAGCGACAGCACAAAGGCAGTGGAATGAAAGGTGTATCCATTTATGTTGCTTTGGTGTTCCGCGACTCGAGAAGTTCACGAATACTCCTGAGCTCCTTTAGTCGGTCATCCTCGCCCTCCTTCAGTAAGCGGAGATGCTCGGCTTTCAAGTGTTGGAACTCCTCGTCTAGCCTGTGATGCCAGGGATAGAGAACGCAGACTTGGAAGCAAAATGCCGAGCTGGCAATAACAAAGTTTGTGAGAGAGAACCCGCGGGTAATAATCATGATGCAGGTTGACCCGGTGGGAGATAGTGGGGAGGGTTTCTTTGCGACCAGAGAGGAGTTAGTGACTGGTACTCAGCTATACTTAAAGGCAAACCAATGAATAGTCAACTTCTCGTACCTGTTAGGAGAAATGTTGCTCGAAACCAGACAAGTGCCAGAACCTCTCGACGATGTATTCTACCAAAGATGCCCCTGAAACAGAGAAGATCTCTGAGTCTGGCAATTTATCCTCCTCGTCTCGTCCATCACGTGCTTTTGTTCTAGAAGACCCGCAGCCGTTGGAGTTGAGGTCATTGTGGAGATGTGCTGATTTCCCATTGCTTCTATACTGCGAGGTCTGTTTCCCTACTTACTGTTTGCGTTGCTCAATTTGCCCCTTATTGAGAATCTAAGTATGATACTTGTCCTGACTCTACATAAGAAACCCCCGAAATATCGATCGCAGTGACAGTTCTTTCGATGTCCGTTGAGGACGAGGAAAGCCCTTGGCCTGTGCACCACGAAGTATGGGGTATGACCTTTCGGCCGAAGCGGCAATTTCTCGGTATCCGACAGGGCCGAACCGTTCGGGTTGCCCTCACATCCGAACTAAAGGGAACTAAAGGGGCTGAATGAAACCGTTAAGGTAACTCCGATGATGATAACCTGTAGATCCGTTGCGCCCATTCCCCCAGGGCGTCATAATTGGTGGAACATCCGTTTCACGGGCGCCGTCGGCGAGGAGCCGAGCTTGCCTTCGATCTTATAAGAGGGCGGTTTGAATCCAGAAAACCAAGACTTGGTACCTGATGAAGAATTCCCTCAAAATGCTCTGCCGGCAGAGTGCCCTCGTGGGGGGACGGGATCCCACGTTGACCCCCACAACGCGGCCACTGCGGTCCATAGGTCTTCAACGCGGCTCTGCATCTCCACGTGGTTCTATTACGAACCAACCATGGCTCAGGGGTTCAGGAATTGAGCCCCTTGAGGCGAACAGTATTCAGACGTCTCAGCAGTCAGTGCCGCAGGTCTTGTGGATTGGATGTTCCGACAGCGACCCTCGAGAATCTAGTGTTTATCAGATTCCAAATGATCAGCCACTAGAGCTCAGGAATTTGGGGAACATGATAATTGAGGGTGATTTATCTTCCGAAACCATGATCAAACATGCTGTGGTTAATCTTCAGGTAGCGTTGCCCTTGCCATAGCCAATCGGACACGCTTCTTGTTTTTACTGACGCGAGTAAGGTAAAACACATTGTTGTCTGCGGTCATTATGGCTGTCGGATTGTGAAATCAGTTTGCCGAGATGGTTTGCAAGGCCCGTGGTTGAGGTAGGCTTGTCTAAAGACTGTGGGTTCGTCCCACACCAATTAACCATTCAAGGAGTAGGAGGCTCAACTCACTTCATATGAGCCACGAGAACGATCTCAGTCAGCTCCCAATTTCAGAACATGATCACTCTTTTGTGAGAATCAATGTTCTTGACCAACTCCGGATATTGCGTACCTTTCTCGAGGTATCCGAGGCTATTGCCTTGGGAAATTTGCACATACACGGCGTGGTGCATGACCCAGAGAGGAATATATCCCACCAGATACTGGAAACACAGCCTACAAATGTTTAAAGTATGTATGTGACGTCATTTAATTTATGGGGTGGGGGTACCCCAACTATAGACCTGGGGCTCTTCTCTCCAACACATCACTTTTATTCAGTATATTCTACGGCGCAGTAGGAAACCATTGGATTACCATCTTGGGGATCAATCCTTCTTAGGACCCGGACTCAAGCAGTAAATTTTCTTCACATCCTGCAGCATAGCCTCGAAGTCAATGTTGAGATTCTTCAGCAGACCGTCATGCAGGTCAAAGACCAATCCATGGACAACGGGGAACTCATCCCTGTCGTAGCTTTGCTGAACAGCGGCAGTCTTGATGATGTTCCTGCAGGACTCGACCACATTGAGCTCAATCAATCTGTTGTATCGCTGACGCTCATCGGCAATAGCGTCAAGCTCCTTCTCGTGCAAGCGGTAGACGTCGCGGATGTTGCGGAGCCAGGGGTTCAGCAATCCCAAATCAGCGGAGGTCAGGGCAGCCTGGACACCACCACAGTTGTAGTGGCCACAGACAATGATATGCTTGACTCGCAGGTGTCGCACGGCATAGTTGATGACGGACATGACGTTGAGATCGACATTGGGGACCAGGTTGGCGATATTGCGGTGGACGAAGACCTCGCCTGCCTCCAGGCCCATGATCTCATTGGCTGGGACACGGCTGTCACTGCATCCAATATATCTGTTTCCCGTTAGCGCGATCTGGGTTGGAGTGAGACTGAATATCCCCCGCTCTTCTTACAGGTAGTCGGGCTTCTGCCCCGCAGCCAGTTTATCAAAAAAGGCAGGGTCAGTGTTGCTCTTGGTTTCGACCCATTTTTTGTTGTTCTGGAAGATGTGGTCCAGGGTGTGGGCGGGTTGGTCAGCCATGATGTAGATTAAGATGCAAGGGTTGCGGAGAGGGAATGTCCAGTCCGTGTTTCACTTGATTAAAAGCCCCTCAACGGCCAGGCGGGGTTGCCCACGTAAGCATTCTCTCAACAGTTCAGCTCCACCACTTTTCTTCACCGGGAACGACTCCGTAGTGTCTTCTCTGTCTTTGCTATGCATGCGGACTTCCAATTGGGCCTTAATGAAATCATCAACTCGGCAGCTACTCCGTACCACATCTGAAGATGGCTCAAGGTGGGCAAATTGATTCAGTTACGGCGTACTCGGGATGGAGTAAATGGTAGTGAAGGACTATTAGCTCGTATTCTATAGATCTCAGACTTCCCTAGGGGACCATCATCACTCCTTGTATCCGTACGAGTACTACATTCCCGTTCGCAAGGGTCACGCCGAATTCGGGATTGACCGTGTCACATGACCTCGCGTTAGATCACGAGTTGCCGCGGCAACATCGGCCTACACTTCTCCGAGAGCGCGCGGTGCCCGTGACGTTGTACGAGGTACAACGTACGGAGTATCACACTGTGGATGATGTGAAAGTAACGGACCACCGTACGGATTGATCATTTGGATGGGTTCGTATGTCACTAATGATCCACCAGAGCCAGAGGCTGTTGATCTGAACAATTGCGCTTGGTAGAGCGTCTGCGGGCGCGCAACTCGCTTATAGTGGGGTTGCAAATACGCTATACTATCTATGGCCGAGGGGCACCGACTCCGACATCTTCAACTTGTCCTGTCAATTCATCACATAAGAACAAATACCAACCGCCAGTCGCGTCTCACTCAAAACACCATATATACCCCGTCATGTCGAACTCACAGTCTCATCTCTACACGTTCCCCGGTAAGGCGGAATTGGCTGAAAGCCTGCAGCAGTACGTCCTCAAAGCCGAAGCTGCCGCTCTCGCCCACCATGATACCTTCCGCGTAGCCGTCTCTGGCGGTTCCTTGCCCGTCATCCTAGCCGAGGCCCTTTTGGGAAAGGCAACCATCCCGCAATTCGGCAAGTGGGATATCTTCTTCGCCGATGAGCGCGCCGTTCCCCTCGATCACGCCGACAGCAACTACTTCCTGCTGAAGGAGGAATTCCTCAACAAAATCCCTGCGGAGCTTGGAACCCCTTCCGTGCACCCTATCGCCGAAAAGCACGCCAACCAGGACGACGACCCCCAACAGCTGGCCGACTTATACCAGGACGAATTGAAGCGCGCATTCACCGGTGGAGAAAATGAAGCGCTACCCATCTTCGACTTGATCCTGCTTGGCTGTGGACCTGATGGCCACACCTGTAGTCTGTTCCCGGGCCACAGTCTTCTCCAGGAGAAGACTGCTTGGGTTGCTGCCATCTCGGACTCGCCCAAGCCCCCACCCAAGCGCATCACCCTCACTCTCCCTGTCGTCGCCGCTGCTACCCAGATCGCGTTCGTTGCAACCGGAGGAGGCAAGAAGGAAATTATGCGCGATATCTTTGACTCGGAGGATGGTTGCGGTCTGCCCTCATCCTTGGTTAACAAGGCTGCTGGCGATAAAGTCAGCTGGTTCACCGATTCGCCCGCTACTGAAGGCATTGCCTATCCCCGTGGATAAACGCTCTGCAATGAAGACTCCCAACTCTGACTTTTAACGGCTTAAAAGGATTGGCAATGAAGCTAGCGTTTCAAAAAATCAATCTCACGTTCCCCATGACAGTTATCTCCCAAAATGTTTCTAAGCAGTGATCTGGGCAATTCCTTTCGAGGCCGCATCTTTCTTGAGTGGACAATCGCGATACATTAGGTCTTGTTACACAGACCGGGTTCCAACATTCCAAAGTGACTCACAAGCTCAATGTCCAATGACGATACTTCCGGTCTCATCGCCTAAATGCTCTGGACAGAAGACGTGGGTTTCACTTTTACGAGAACTTGTTCGATCTAGTTCTTTGAATAAGGCCAATAGTGCATGTTAAATTAGAGGTGTAAGTATCTGATTGGGGGCAGCCTCAAAATTTAGGCAGTTGGGGCCACCGACTCCTCAATGGGCCTAGGGAGCCTGGCAAATGTGGGGAGAGATCGCTTGATGCCTATTGTGATGCTTGGCATGCATTTAGGGCTTGGCATCATTGGCCACGATCTTCCACAGTGGAGTCTTCTGCCTAAGGTTGCCTGGCCCCCGGGCCCCTGAAAGACTAACCCAAATCAGGATACATTGATGTCCGTATCCAATGCTGGGATACTTAAAACGCAATATCGCCTGCAATTTGCTACCATTATTCAACTCAATATCATCTCAATTACCTGTTTTCGACTTGATTCAGCAATGGCTTCTACTCTTCCACCAATTCCCGCTAAACACAATGATTTCTTTAGCTATGTTCGCTCTCAGCCAGATACCCCCATGGTGGACTTGGTCAAGCCCTACATCGAGTTCGATGCCGTGATGCGCAAGAAGTTTGCTCAAGAGCCGGAAAGCTCTGCAGTTCAGGAGAATCTCATCAACGTGACGCCGATCTATGACCAAACTGGCGGTAACGACCTTCGCATTCGGGCTCGTGATCTCGAAGTCGAAACACCAGAGCAAAAAGAGAAGTACCTCCTACCCTTGGGCAACAAGGATCGCAAACCCAATGGCTCGCCGGCTATTGTTCCCACGTTGAAAGAGTTCCGAAATAACTTCGCTCTTTTCACGGAAGGCTGTCTTAGTGAAATAGACTGGTCGAACGTGGTGGCAGCCGGCAGTGCTGTGGTCACTTCTTTGCTACCAGTGCCAGAGCAATACCGTCATTCCAAGCGTGGTCTCCGCAAGTACTACCACGAGATCTTTGCCCCGGCTTCCGATGTCGATCTTTTCTTGTATGGCCTGAATGAGGAACAAGCCATTGAGAAGATCAAGCACATCGAGGACAGCATCAAGAACACAATCCTTTACGAGACCACGACGGTCCGTACCAAGAACACCATCACAATTGCCTCGCAATATCCCAATCGCCATGTCCAGATTGTTCTTCGAATCTACCGCTCTGTTTCTGAAATTCTGACCGGTTTCGATGTGGATGTTTCATGTGCTGCTTTCGACGGTAAGCAGGTCTACGCGTCGCCCCGTGCGATTGCCGCGTATATTACACAGATCAATATGATTGATCTGACGCGCCGCTCGCCATCATATGAGAACCGATTGTCCAAGTATTCTCATCGAGGATTTGAAGTCTTCTGGCCTGGATTGGACCGGTCTAGAATTGACCCGGTACGCATATTTCCTCCACGTGCCTGCGGTTTGATATATCAAGAGCTAACAATTCTAGACCATCTTCGAACGAACCTTCAATCGAACGGTCGGCCTTGCCCGACTTCTTGTCCTGGAAAAGCTCCCCAAGTCTGATGATAGAGATCTGTATCTCAGCAAACGCCGAGAAGAGCGCGGCCGCCCTGCCCTGAGCATGTACATGCGACGACGCCAAGGAAGGGAGCTTCGTGGAAACATCAAAGACGATTGGGAAGATGAAGTTCCAGAATGGCAGGAGCAAGATCAGGTGTCTGATTATAATACTTTCGTGCGTTTCACATTTCTCCCTTGATTTCTTCTACTGACCTCCTCCAGACCATTCCTTATGGGCGAAACTTCAACGCCAAGAAGATCGAAAAGATGCTGTATACCAAAGACTTGCTCCTCAATGCTCAATGGAACCAAGATAAGAACCGTGAGGTCTATCTCCATCGCCACCCCGCATTCTTTGGCGAGGCCGAACATGTCATTCATGATTGCTGTGGCTTCTGTCCTGTGCCCACTACCGAGGAGGAAAAGAAAATTGCTGCAGAGGAAAGCAAAATATACGTCTCTGGTGACATCTCGTTCATCAAAGATGATCCCGGTCGCCAGGAGATTGGAAGTTTCAACCCAATTACTGAAACAGATTGGACAGGTAAGACTGAGGAGTTCCATTCACGAAGAGCCTTTTTTGCTCACATCTCATTCTAGAAATGGCGTATGTCGGTCGCACCGAGCGCCTATGCCAGGCCATTGTCGCAGATGACTTGAAAGCCGTGCAAGCCTGTCTTGCAGAGGAAGGATCCAATCCAGATCGTCGCGACTACACCGGACGAACTCCCCTTCAACTGGCGTGTATGTCTTCGACTCCAGAGATTGTTCAGACTTTGGTCGACCATGGTGCTCGGATGATTCCTCGCATGGCCGATGGCAAGACTGCGCTTCACATTGCTGCCTCCCGGGGAGATGTCGAAATCATCCGCATTCTGCTCACCAAGAGCAACCAAAATGAGGAAGAAGAGTTCAAGAAGCAAGAGCAGCTGAAGGAGGCCACGACCGAGAAAGAAGCGGTCAAAGATGTCACAGATGTCGCCCAGGAAGACCATCCGATGGACGACGCAAGCGACCAAGACGAAGATATGTCCCATACATCTGCCTCTTATGTCAAGGTTGAGCCGGAAGAACCTCTTGTGACCTATGACACCATCGAAGAGAACGAACTTGAGCCAGATGTTTATGACGTGAATGTGGTGGCATGGGACAGCCGCGCTTCGCCATTGCACCTCGCTATGCTCAATGGCCATACGGACGCCGTCAAAGAGCTTGTCTCTTCCTTTGGGGCTGACGTCCTCATCCCCGTGAAAATTCTGAATGATTACAACAGGAAGCCCGAAGCAGCTATTCTCAATCTGGTGCTTGCTTTCGCTCTACCTTCGACAAAGAGGATCGAGATGTTCCGCACACTCCTCGAGCTTGGTGCGTCCCCCGCACAGGCGGATTTGAAGCAGAGAACCCCCGTATTCTACAGCGTCGAATACAGGAAAGACTTTATGCTTGATCTCTGCTTCGAGCACGATACGCCGGCCGTCAAACGAGCAATCAACCATTTGTCTATCTCCGGATCAGCCTGGTCTACTGGTTACTCTTCGGTGCTGATCCAAGCCCTGGAAAACAAGATGCCCGCAATGGCAGTCAAACTGCTAGATGCGGGCGCAAAGCCTGCTGTTGAGTTCGGTGATTTCCTGAAGTCCTTCAAAAGGGCCTTCCCCGACGATAGAGTGTATATGAACGGTCTTGAAGATCGCTTCAACGAAACCGATCGGCAGCCAATCGTTATGGCTGTTATGAACGAGCTGCCCACCATCGCGCTTGAACTCCTCAGTCGGGGTGCCGATCCAAACACAAAGACCAAGATGCGATGGGGCCAGGATGGCACAACTGTTCTGGACTGCACCCAACGGAGGCTACGGGGGCTTCAAGAATTCTTGGACAAGCCTGAGGAGGTTTGGCAGTTGGGTTATGGCCAAAAGTTACCTCAACTGTTCGAGGAAGATGGATACTACCTCGACAGCCTTCCCGCAGACAGTTACCAGCGGCTTGTCGCAACAACGGCCTTGAAGAATGCTCGAACCGAGAGCAAGGAGGCCGAGGCAAAAATCAAAAAGGAGAAAGAACGTTTCGTCAGCCCTCCAGGTACCATCGCCAAAAGGGAAGCTATCGCCAATATGATCCGTGACTACCAACATTTCGAGACGGAGCTCCGGGCTAAAGGCGCAAAGACATGGCGAGAGCTCCATCCCGACCTTCCATACGAGGATGACCGAGCTCTGCCTGAAAAGAAGTATCCGGAGCCTGTTCAGAAGAAATTCAAGCTCGAATTCCACTTCAGCGAGCCGGGCCTCAATGATGTTCGTCGCGACGGATACATTCGACTGTGAGATACCTACCATTGATTCCCCAGAGCACCATACTAATAATATCAACGTTGCAGATTCGAAGCGGCTTGGATTAACGATCTTGAAACGATCAAATCCTTGACACTCGGAATGTGGGGACCTGCCGCAGACCAACGGCCCCTCGAGCTGGCTGTGACTGGTAATCTTTCGGTTTCATGCCTCACAATTTCCATTTTGCGTGGCCACCTCGACCTCGCAAAGTCCATCTTGGAGATTATTGGCCAGCAGTACAAGCCAAAGGAGTCGCGGGGTCAAGTTCGATTCGAGATTGCTACTGATGAGTCGTCTGATGATGATGACGACGATGATGACAATCTCAACATCATTGGTGACACGGTTGATGAAACCTTCACTCATGAGAATGTTGGAGAGGTCACGACCCATGTCGAGAGCGAAATGACCCCTCTCATGGCATTGCAGAACACCTTCAAGACTTCTCCCTTCTTGGAACAGTATAGGCTGAAGAATCACGTTGAATCCACACCAAATGGAGGAAGAGCTCTGGTCAGTGTCGACTCGCTCATGAAGTACGCCATTTACACGAACGATTTAGCCATGATGAACTGGCTTTTGGAGACCGGGCAGAAGCTTGAAAGCGAGGATCCGCTTGAACACAAATACTGGATTAATGATGATGATCTCAAGCTGGCCATCTCGCTCGGACGCACTGAGTTCCTTGCGAAACTCATTCAGCACAGCGGCGTTGGTCTCCCGCTCGCTAAACTGAGTGCAGACTCTGGAGTGGAAACTACAAAGGAGCCTCGATACTATCAAGGGTTGTCAATTCGCGGCGCAAAGCGTTCCGACTGGGCGAACGCAGGCCGAAATGAGACTATCAAGCCTTTGGGTCTTCCCACTCCTCTTTTGATCTCCGCTTTCCAAGGAAACATTGCCAGCACTGAGTTCTTCCTGGGTACAGCCCCTGGTCGATACTATCTTGAATATGTGAACTCTCACCCGGACAGAAAGGATGTCAAGAGAATTGCTCGCTCCAAGCTTGGGCTTGAGGGTTCTGTTCTGAACTGGTTGCAAACGAGAAGTAAGTTTGGAACGAATCCCATAATGTGATCAAGATAGCTGACCCTCAAAACAGACAATCTCGTTCTCCACTGCGCAGTGATGGCTAAGCCGTGCGAGGAATCAGAACGTCTTGTCCAGTACATTGTTGACCACCACCCTGAGTGCCTTGAGGTACAATCTGAGAGTGGAAGGACTCCTCTTGCCTTGGCCTTTTCTCTCCGCCGGGTCAAATTTGCTCGCATTCTGATTGCGGCGGGTGCTAACCAAGCAACACGGGATAGTGAAGCAAACAACCTCCTTCACATGCTCATTCAATCCGACGGCACCGGCATCTGTGAAAATTACAATACCTTCAACAAGCTCGTCGGCATGCTGGATGACTCATTGATTCCTACAATGCTATCTCAACGTGCTGGAGAAGACGCAAGAACCCCCTTCACGCACTGGCTTCACAACGTCTCTGAGTTGCCTTCGTATGCGTCAGTCTACGATGTTAACGGAGAGAAGCGAATGACCAAAAATCAGATCAAGACCACCATGACAAACGCAATCCTCGACCTGGCAACTTCCACTAACCAGAAGCATCTGGAGGTCTTCGATGGCGCGGGAAACACCCCAGCCCATCTCGCCGTCAAAAACAACCACCCTAAAATTCTCAATCTCTTGCTCGAACGTCGCCCAGATCTCCTTTACCGCGAAAACTCCACTGGAACCACTCCCCTTGAAATGGCCGTGGCTGCCTGGGTCAATAACACCACGTCCAGGCTTCCTGGCCGCTCCAACCCGCCAGACTCAGACAACATCATACAACGGGATCCTCGGTGCTTTGTCGAAGGGTTCAGCAATCCCGGGAAGATCCCATCAGATGAGAAAACCATGCTTCGTGTGTGTCGGGAGAAGGCCGAGCAAAATCCTGGGAAGAGACGGCTCGTCAGTCTTTTTGAAGCCAATGAGGTTGCGAAGAGATTGGCTACCACGCAGCGATCTTCTGAGAACAACAGGGGTCGATGCTACCGTCGTCGTCGCCGATTCGGTGACTGTTATGGTGTTGATGACGGTGATGAGGTGGAGCAGTGGATCGGTGTGGCTTAGGCTTTGCATAGTTGCTGGACATCCTGGTTATTCTAAAGCTCTACTTGTAATTATCATCGTCAATTGGAGATCAATCAATTTCAACTACCAGAACACAACATTTCGTAGCACATAGCAAACCTGCTATAGTCATAGATCATACTTCAAGCGAGTCAATTTTGATCGTTAACTAAATTAGTACTTTTTTTGCTCAAGGTCGATCTAAGATGGACCCGATGGGTTAATGATCGACTCGCTTACGTGGGTCACAGTGATAGCGCGAACCGGTTCGCACCTGTCAGACCCTGTCTAGCTCGATCATTTTGGCAAACACATCATCCCGGGAAATCGAAACTTCAGATTCTGTCCCTCGAAGAGCCTCGACACCGACTGTGGCATGGTGGACCAAGGCGCGAACATGGTCGCTTCCGATCATGGCGAACTACTCAAGGCATTTACGGATGCTTGCAGGGAAAAGGATATTTTATCTCGGCCTGAAAGCTTGGAGAGCAGAGACCTGTGCGATGGATTACTAGACCCGCCTACCCTTCTGTATGTTGTTGCTCAACTGCCAAATGCAGCTCCTCCGAGTTCCCCTGAATTGCTCTGCTGACCCCAGCAGACGATTTCTAGCCGCCCGCAAGTTCGATCTCGGGAAGGCCATCGAACATTTTGAAACAGCTCGTCGATTTCGCGAAGAGAACAATATCATCCAGCTTTATGACATGATTGAAATTGCTGATTTTGAGAAAACGCGCAAATTGGTGAGTGAGAGCTTGTACAAGGGCGCCTAAATTCTGATAGACAACAAGTACTTTCACTGGACTGGTCGCAGAGACAAAAAAGGCCGACCGGTGTGTTTCTATGACCTTGAATACATGGACAAAGATGCCCTAGCACATTGGGAAAAGACGCGCACGTTTGCACAATGGAAATATTCACAGGCTGATACGAACCCACCTAACCCTGACATGCGACAACTGGCTTCGGTGTATATTGACAGTATGATTCGATTTGTTATACCCCTTTGCTCGATGATGGCGGACAGACCAGAGCCCTCCAACCCCATCACCAGCTCTCTCTATCTGGTTGATGCAACCGACTTCGGACTGAAGCGGGCGTGGGGTATCAGGACTTTCGCCCAGGAGATTAGTTGGCTGTTGAACACATGCTATCCAGAGACCGTCGAAAAAATCTTTGTGGGTGCTTTATTCCGAATCTTATATAGAATACCTACTCACTAATTGATAGGTGTGCAATTCCCCTTCGTACTTTCAGTCGATTTGGAAGTACTTAAAGGGCTATGTCGATCCTCATACAGCGGACAAGATTGTCTTCTTGCTCCCTGAGGAAGTATTACCCACCCTGAGAGAGGTCATCGATGATATCAATATCCCTGCAAAGTTTGGCGGAGGTCTTGCATTTACCCACGGGCAATCTCCAGACCTTGAAAATGATATTAAGCAGCATTTGGGACTGGAAGATCCGTCAAATACTCTACCCCCGGGTCCCATCAAGTGGATTGAGGAGTTGGATGGTAGGAGAACTGCCTTGGCTGTTGGTAGCCAAGGCGGCGCCGAAAGAAGTGACAGGTTTGCCACTATTGATGTACCGGCGAGCAACATTTCCGCTCAAGCGCTCTCAGTCGAAGCATAAATTACCCAGATGAAGATACGCAGTAGAAAAGGAGATACCGAATGGAGAGGAATCTGCATTCAACAAGAGAACGTGATATCATAACAGAGGAAAGCACACAATATTTAGGAGACGATTGATCAAGACCCAGGTATTGGCACTTACTATGCACTTTCTAATGAAGAGACGGGACTGCCAGACTAAACACATTCTCCGGGTCGAACGTGGCTTTCAAGTCTTTCAGAGTTTGAGTGGTTGAACCGTAAGTCTTTTCCAGCACCTCGGCGGATGAGAGCCCAGTAGTATTGAACAAAGACACATAGACTGTGGAAAGAACAGATCGTGGATCTGCCTGCTTTACTTCTTGTTCTGTTCGTCTAGCCCAAGCACGTGATGTGTCTGCAGTCGCATCAACCGTGGAGAACCCTATCAACTCCAGCATGTAATGTGGCGTCCGTGTTTCGAACACAGAGGGTAGACCCCCAGAGCCTGCCGTAGTCGACTGTCCACGTAATTGGTGAATGGAAAGCATGGTGCCGGGGTCAGAAGGCATTTGGTCAAGACTGCGGCCAATGGATTCAGCAATGGCAGGAGATATCTCGAAGGCGTTTACAGAGTACGCAGCCCCCGATCCAGTCGGCGGCACGAGGGCGGCGGTGCCAGCAAACCATTTGGGGATAGTAGTAACCGCCACGGCGTTTGCAACAACAGGGTGTATACTGGCAATCTTATCACTCCATCGCTGACCCTCTTCAATGTCGGAGCCACTCCATACAAAAATCACCCCATGGGTGCGACCATGAGGAGAATTGAAGGCAATTTGTTGAATCGTGAGTTGTGGGGGCAGCTCTTCCGACCTTTGAAGCTCGCTATAGGCTTTGTTGAAATTCACTACAGATTTAATAATATCGGTTGAGTCAAAAATGATGGGACCGGCCAGCAGCTGTAGAGAAGTTTATTGTTAGCTTCGACGCTGAATCTGCTCAAAGGCTCAACCTTACGCTTGTCATAGGATAGACCTTGATGGTAAGATCTAAAATCACCCCGAAGAGACCACCGGCACCACGGATACCCCTTAAGATAGACTCTTCGGCCTTGAGGATCTCACCATCATGATTGATTATGGTGGCCCCCAGAATCTGATCGACTCCAAGCCCCCAGTGACCGGAGAAGGGCCCATAGCCACCATAGGTGGCCCAGCCAACATACCCCACCGATGGGATAGAGCCGATGGGTGTCGCGAGCCCTTCCGCCCAGAGTTTGTTACCAAGCTCTTCCTGTAAAATTCCACCTTGAACCGTTGCGGTCTGACGATCCGGTGCGATGGTGACAGCATTAAGCGCGCGGATGTCGATCAAGAGAGCGCCCTCAACAAGTACACGACCTTCCAGATTATGACCTCCGCAACGTATGGTGAACTGTAAGGACTGAGACTTGGCATATTTGATGAGTGCGCAGAGGTCAGAAGGTGATTGTGGCTGGACGATGGCCAGCGGGTTATCTGGACGGTCGCTTTTGAATACTTTGCGGGCTGTCGGGTACTCAGGAGAGACGGGCGAGATGTATTTGATGGTGGGGAAGTTTTGGAGGAAACTCTCCAGGGCAGGTAGCTTTGTATCGCTCATGATGGGCGTGGATAAATTGAAAAAGAACTGAAGGGCGCCAGCCTTTTTAATTCTCCGTCTCACCACATCAAGCCGGGAGGCTGACGGTCTAGAGCTATTGATGACAAGTCGACGAGCCTTCCAAGGTTGCCAATCGTAATTGATGCGTTTTTGGCGTTCCTGAATCATGCATATCATTGATCGAACTCGATGATGGACCACCGCACCAGTCCACAAAGCCGTAAGCCAAGTCCGCCCCCGGGGCCGACCCCCGCCCAGGTCAGCAAATGGGGGTTTGCCTATGGGGTGTGGGCCTGGAGTATGCATGCTGACATATGGCCCCCGGAATCGGGGCTGAGAGTGTAAATTTACGAACAGACCAATCACTATTCAGTATCTAAGTGCAAACAGAAGTCTTAGTGTAGGTGCATAGGTATCGCAATACTAAAGTCTTACTCTGGGAAGCTCTAAAACTTGAAACTTCGAGCAGGGGTCTCTTCACTTCACGGGCTGCTCGGTGGGAAAATTATTGTATGACAGAGAGCCAACACTAAGAGACTCAGACTGATCCGTAGATAGTACCGCCAGTGATAAACTCGACACTCCGCTTCCTCCCATCCAGTAGTAATAATGGAGTGAGCGTCTTTCCCAGTATCATGGTTGCGCTGAGCAGATAGACTGATGTGCGTGCGCCGACGCCAGCCTCCAGAATAGATCGAGGGTGAAAGACTGATGTTGGCTGGATTTTTGGTATAGAGTGGCATCATCGGATGACCGACAGTCGAGCTCCTGTTAGGGCCACCTAGCATTGTGCGCTACTGATACCGGTCCCAGGATGACAAGACGACGTCTTGTCTTATTTGGTCTTTTGGCCTGTCAGATAGCATACCTGGGGTATTGTTTTCACAGCCCCGTTTGATATATGTACTAGAGTCAGTTGTGTATGAACTTTAGAAGGTACAGCAACTTTAGAAACGGGCCGACTGCTCCAATTGTTTTCCGGGAATGTCGCGAGGTTCTTCCCCGCATACATGAAGTATTGGACGTTCGAGATATCAGACGATCATCTATAAATTGTACAGATACACTAGGAACTTCGAGATCACCGCAAACTTCTAAACTTTAGAACACGCTTAGACATCCCTTCTCTGAAAATCCGAATAAAAATGAAGCATTTCTAAAGTTGTGGTGTGGGGCGGAAGTCCTAGTTACTGCTTGATATATAGTTCCGCATGCTCAAATATTTACTGCTCAAGTGCGACCTAACTTTAGAAGCAGAAACTCTCTGGAGGGGAGAAGCACGCCTAGGCTCTCCGACAACTTTAGAATGAATTACCCCGATTGTCCAGCTAATTCTCGTACTTAATACTTCCCATATTGCATTATGCAGACCTCGTTCCTGTGGCGAGCCATCCGGGGCCCCGGAACGAGATTACATAATCTACACGAAGGGCGCAATCTCGCCTTCATAGGTGCTCGCTGTTGTTCAGAAGTCCCTGGAGTCACAAATTAAGATAGTTCGGAGTAGCAAACGCACTTTCAGGACTAGAAAAGGCTCGAGCATGGACAACCTGTCTTTCAATCCACCCAACGGGCCACTTGAGTTGGGGGATGAGGGGGCAGAGTGTGAGTATTGTCTTCCTTCGTGCACGCACTTGAACTGACGTGAAGAAACAGTCAACATGGACGCAGAATGGAAGTGGTTCGAGGATTTCTCCCCGGAGTTTCAATCTATGAGATTTGATGCACCCCTCACCACTCCCGACGCGCTGTTTGCCTCCGCGCAGAATACATTAACCAGCAATGCACATGCTATGCCACCTACTAATGAGCCATTTGGTGAACCGGAACTCATTGACTCAGCGGAAGAACCAAGGTTCGCCCCCCAGATTGGGGTATTTGATAGTCCGCTCGACCCTGGTGGCCTTAGCCAAATGAGTGAAGTCATCGACAACCAGGCAAATTTTTCCACTGCAAGCAAATCCAAAACTTCACGCGCCGGAGTGAATGAACCGTACTCTAGGTCGCGAAGTGATATGAGGAGCCACCCTCCAGGCCTCCCTAGACACCGCAGTCGCTACTCAAGGAGGCGACTAGGCGAATTGACACCACCAGTTCTAATTTCGCCAAAGCCCAGCGTCCATGATGTCCCTGATCCAATGCAGCGATGGCAAGATTCTCCACCAGAAGATGAACCGGCATCTCTTTCAGCTATTATGGATGCAGTCAGGTCAAGCGAAGGCCCGAGTGCTGCAGAGTTTGGCAGATCTGGCGCAGGCGGCAGTGAACCACCTGCGCGCCCTGGTGAGGCTTTTCGAGGATATCGGAATGCTGCTTCATCTACAAGCGGCGAGAGCGGTGCTAGCAAATCGTCCCGAAACTCCCTGCAGTCAGAGAACTCCGGCTCTGGGTCATCAAGGAACTCATCTGCATTACGTCCACGCAGATCTCGAGGGCGGATTACGAAGGCCCAACAAAAAAATAATGGAAAGGAAGAGCGGCGTATATTCTGTTGCACGTTTTGCTGTGATCGCTTCAAAAGCAAATACGACTGGACACGACACGAAAAATCTCTACATTTGAATCTGGAGGCGTGGATATGTGCGCCATTTGGGGGCGCTGTCTTCTCCACGACCACTCAACGTCCACACTGTGCCTACTGTCATGCTCTGGAGCCAGATGCAGAACACCTTAAAACGCATAATCATCAAAGTTGCCACGGGGATTCTAAAGAGCCACGAGTCTTTCGCCGGAAGGATCACTTGGTCCAGCATTTGCGACTCGTGCACGATCTTCAAGTCATGCCTCTAATTGACGATTGGAAACTTGAAACGCCGGCATTCAAATGTCGCTGTGGAATTTGTGATCAAACGATGAACAGCTGGGATGAGAGAACCGAGCATATTGCCGCCCATTACAAACAAGGATCAACCATGCGAGATTGGCATGGCGAACATGACTTTCCACCGTCTATCGCCGCACAAGTGACACACGCATTATCACCATATCTGATAGACAGCGAATCAGCAAGTATGGTCCCTTTCTCCGCGACCGACTCCAATACCCGAGACCACTTCTTCCAAATTTCCTCGAACGCGGGGATGCGACAGGAACCAACCGAAACCCAGCCGCTTCAGCCGCTTCCAGAAACCTTCACCTCCCAGTCCGAGATCAGCTCGTTCACGCAAATTTTGACCATGCATCTCAGCCACTATGCTCAAGACCAGATGAAACAGGGGATAGTCCCCACAGATGAAATGTTTCAGCAGGTGGCAAGAAGGCTACTCTACGACTGTGAAGACAACTGGAATCAGACCGTGGCGGATAATGGACAATGGCTCTCGGCATTCCGACAATTACATTGCCAGCCTGATGCGGGCGATCGCGACCAAGTTTGACTTCCAAGTGGTTTACACTCAAATCACTCTGAAACCATGGGTTTGCCCGATGATCTCATTTCGGAGATTCGTGGGAAATAAAAATTTGCGTGGCAAATAAGGTTAACCCCCCAGGGCGCACATGTGGGTCCGGGATCTGCCCCATTCCCAAGGTTTACTCTCCTTCTTTGAGAGGAAAAAATGAATTTGATCATTGAATATCAGAGTGGAATCATGTCGGTGCTTTGCTGGTCTGGCAAATTCGAAGGCAACTTGGCATCTTCTTCGATTTTGAAATCTTCGGAAAGAAGTGGGTCTGGATCTAGGGCGTAGGGCGTGGAATGAGCTTTAGCGGTGGTAGCCTGCGCTGGGATTCAACAGGCGTTGCTGACGATGCTGCTAGTCATAGGAATCAACATAAAGAAGCGTGAAAGACTTTTACCTGGGTGACTTTGACCAGATGCACGCCCCGTTCACCACACGCTGTCGAACCGCCTTGCTGCGCTGCAATATGCCAGGCTCTGTACGCCGACTGACCAATGATGCCAGGAAGTCCCCAAGACCTCGAGTCCACGTCTTGGGTCTTGGAAGCATTGGCACGTTCGCTGCGCACTCACTCTCCGAAATCCCTCATCCTCCATCGGTGACCTTGCTTTGCCACCGACCGTCCCTCCTCGACGCATATCGTGATAATGGAAGCCAAATCTCCCTTGAGACGAGGGAAGGCCAGCAGGTAGATTATAAGGGTCACGACTTGGAGGTGTTCCGGGATGGTCATTGGTACTCAGGGGCAGCTCCAACCGATACAGGTGCTCCAGAAACCAGCCCGATCGAGAACCTCATTGTAGCCGTGAAAGCGACCCAGACAGCTTCTGCACTTGAAAGGTTGAGAAACCGACTGACCCCGCAATCGACTATTCTGTTCCTGCAAAACGGATGCGGGATGATCGACAGGGTTAACGCCCAGCTTTTCCCTCATCCCACCGAGCGCCCAAAATATATCGTCGGTGTTATTTCTCAGGCGTCACTCTTCGCAAATCATTCGACATCGTACACACCGGTTTCGCTGCGACATCGCTTGGGATGGTTCCAAAGTTAGATGGCAGCCAAGAAACTCTACAGCAAAACTATTTACTCGGCGCTCTTCCCTTATCTCCCCGTCTCAATGCCACGGCCTACAGCTACACCGATGTGTTCCAGATCCAGCTCGAGAAGCTGGCGGTCAATGCGTTCTGCAATCCACTATGTGCGCTGAATGATGCCGAAAATGGATTTCTGTTTACTATACCCGAGATGCGGCGCGCAATCTTGGAGGAAATCTCAACCGTGGCTTGCGCGCTGCCAGAATTACAACATGTGGAGAATCTGAAAGAACGATTCGCCGTGGACAAACTCGAGACAACCGTAAATGCGATCATCCAAAAGACATTCCATACGACGTGTTCGATGGTGTGGGACTTGCGGGCAGGTCGCGAAACTGAAGTCGAGTTCATCAACGGTTATTGGGTGAAGAGGGGGAGAGAGCTCGGTGTGCCCACGCCTATCAATGTGGAACTGGTTGAAAAGGTTACGAGACGGAACCAAAGTTAGAGACTGTCTACGTTATTGTTTTGGCAGGTCATTGCGGCATTTAGAACGTGGGATGTCATTGATCTACCCACAATTCCCAAACGTCAGATCTACACTGTATACGAGTAAAGATGTTTGATATTGGGTGGCAAAGACAGCTTCGCTGGCACTGGGGCGACGTGCATAACGTGATGATAGTAGCATGTTCACTAAATGCCTCAACTGCATAAGCCCTTACGGAGTACGGAGTAACTAGAATGCAGGGAGTACAGTATGGGGAAAAGGAAAAGCCGGACTCACCGTGTGATCGTTCAGCGGAAAAAGCCGGGGAGTTGTTGGGGGCGCTGTATACGAGTAGCTCCAGCTAGCCTGGGGCCAGACACGTCGCTCGTTCATCCAAAACAGAGCGAACCCCGACAATATCACTGGGGCATCGGAGAGGCTCACGAGACCAATGAAAAATGGGGTGCATGGACAATGTGCTCTTGATTCGTCAGGTAATACCTTTTCACGCTCCCCAGGCCCCATGCCGAGCTGTTTCGGCATCTCACAATGAGGATCATCCCCCGGTGGAATCAGCTACGATACTCGTACAACTCGAAACGGGGACCCCAGTCCAACGTGGGATATGCCGTTGGGGAAAGGCCGAAAGGAGAAGCTGCAAATATAATTCGGATACCAGATATTATTGGAAGTGATCGTTCGTAGGCTATGTGGATCGCCGAGGATCTGCCAACGAATCATAAGCTCGGGATCAATTTCGGGGTCAAATTCGGGGGATTTGGTCGTTGTCGGACTCACCGGGAACTTCACAGGGGAAACTTTTTCGGGGTGGACATCCGAGAAAAGTTTATTTGGCTGTGCTTACAGCCTTGGAGGACTTGCAGGGGCAGTATTGATGCATGTCACCATCATCATCAAAAATAATTATACTCAGGTCAATTGAAGAAACTCCCACACACTAACCCCTTCAAAACGCTTCGATTGGATCCAAATTGGTTGAGTTGTTCGAGGTGGTCAAGGGCCGAGTGACGAGCGGCATGCCGACCCCGCCGGTGGGCCGAGTAGCCAATCATATCGTATCGGCTCGGGAAGATCCTCGGTCCATTGTCGGGGAATATGCTTGAATTCTCTGTTCGATCTGTTTTTCCACGGATGTCGTCCGAGCATGAATCAGTCAATCCCGTGGCGTTCCTACTTGTAGAGACAATTCGTTGAGAATTCTCGTGATCCACTTCGTATTCTGTGAGCACGGCAGAGAATGGCCTAACGATCCCCCATATCACGAATCTGGAGTACGGAGTAGAAGATGGGGGATAAGAGAATGCATACAATGCACTGTATACAAACAAGAACGGATATGCTGCTCCGATAGGAAGGCGAGAAAATTGCGTTCAGGCACGAGACGATGTTTGGTTCTCCGTCCCCACAATTATTTTTCGCTACGAGTACTCCAACTCCCTGATTGATCGAACGATCGTTTCTCTGGCACTTTTCTCGAAGGAGGTGCCTTGAAATGCACTACTCCACTCTCCGTATAATCCCGCAGCCCCGGTTCTCAGGAAATTCTGGAGTCCGGAGCATGACGTACGGCGTCTCGGCTCGGGCGTAAAAGGGTAAAATAATTATATATGAGACTTGCCCTCCCCCAAGCTCAGGGTTTGATTTCCTCCTCAATCTTTCTTCACCTGGGAAAATCACATACACCATGAAGGATACTACCAAAAACCCTCAGCCGGTCTCGGCTTCTCACAACGAGAACGTCCCTTCACAAGACAGCGTTCCCACATACCAAGACCGCACCAAGAAGGGCCTCATCGTCGGAGGAAAGTTTCGAAATGAACTCTCTGACCAACAGTCACAAGAATACGACAGCAGCCTCCTCCAAGAAGTCGACATCGATCTCCCTCTTACCCTCACCAAACCCCAGGAACACAATGGCGAGCAATACATCGTGCTCGACTTCGTTGAAGGCGATAAGGAAAATCCATTCAACTGGGATGGACGCCGAAAGGCTTTCATTGCCACTCTTCTTTGCTTGATGACCCTTTTCATTGGTCTGGCCACTACTGCATACAGCTCTGGTATCGGCAAGATGGTTGATGAGCTGCACACCACCACCATCATTGGCCAGCTTGGTCTGTTCTGCTTCAACTTCACCTGTGCCCTGGCTCCTCTCTTCCTCGCTCCGTTCTGTGAGTTGGCTGGTCGCCGTGTCATCTACGTTGGTGCCTATGTCTGCTTCTGTTTGATGTTTATCGGTCTTGCCCTTGGCAAGAACATTGCTACCATCCTCGTCTGCCGTTCTTTGCTTGGTCTGTTCGGTTGCGTCGGCACCATTCTTGTCGGTGGTACCTTCGGTGACATGTACACCCCCGAGCACCGTGCCATCCCCATGGCATGCTTCTCCTTCATCGCCATTCTGGGTACAGTCGGTGCCCCCATTTACGCCGGTTTCATCGATCAGGCTCTTGGCTGGCGCTGGCTCGAGGGTATCCAGGGTCTTGCCAACATTCCTCTGGGTGTCATGATCGTCATCTTCCTCCCCGAGACCCGTGGCAGTGTCTGCCTCTCCAAGCGCGCGAAGAAGATTCGCCAGGCCACCGGTGATGAGCGCTTCGTCACCATCAACGATATCGAAGCTCCCGGAATCAAGCACATGCTGCACAACTCCTCCGTCAAGGCTGTCAAGATGCTTTTCACCGAGCCCGTCGTCTTCGCCTTCGGTCTCTGGATCTCTTTCGCCTGGTTCCTGGCCTTCCTCTTCTTGTCCGTGATTCCCATCACCTTCCAGGAGAAGCGTGGCTGGAACGAAGGTGTCTCTGGACTTCCCTACATCTCCCTCTGCCTCGGTACCACTATCGGTTTCGGCATGAACTTCCTCCAAATCCGCAAGTACAAGTCCCTCACCCAGGACCCCAATGTGCAGGTCTCTCCCGAGGCTCGTCTGTACGGTGCTCTCTTCGGTGCCGTCTGGTTGCCCGTCGGTCTGTTCATCTACAGCTTCACCCAGTACAAGGGTCTCCACTGGATCGGACCTGTCATCGGACTTGCCCTGATCACCATCGGTATCTTCTTCATCTTCGAGTCCTGCTACAGTTACACTTCCGACTGCTACGGCGAACACTCCTCCTCCGCCATTGCTGGACAGGGTTTCATGCGTAACACCCTCGGTGCCGTGTCACCCCTCTTCGCCTCCCAGTTCTTCCACAACCTGGGCAGCCAGTACGCTGGCTTGCTCCTGGCTTTGGTCGCGACTTTCTTGACCTTCATTCCATTCGTCTTGTACAAGTTTGGTCCCGCGCTGCGCGCACGATCCCGACTTGCCAGTGCCACGGTCAATGGCACCGACTAAATTCATTGCATATTTTTGCGAATTGGCGCTGCGGTGCATATGGTTTTATGAAAATTACAGGCTTTAGGCCTCATAGCATTTTAGCGAAAGACACTTTTGAACTTGAACACATCCGATCTTCCCTGTAGAATTTGTAACAAGTAAACTCTCAGCGGCAAAACTCAGATTCAAGCCTTAAAAGCCAGGCATTAGTTGGAAAATTAATGATCCGCCAACTCAGTGACGGACCAATCAGCAATAGGCGGTGTGCGCTGGCCGAACGCAGAAATCTTCTGCGGCAGTTGAGTAGGCGGTGAGGAAATAAATCTCTGGCTCCACGGCTAGACTCATCAATTTGATCTCCAGCAACGTTCTCATCCCACATTTATTCCGTCCATTTTACACGGCCGTGATCCTCGAGTGAGCCATTTCTTTCAAAGATTTGGTGTTTGAATTTCTTTCCATTTAAATCCTTTCGAATCTCCAACCGCAGCAATGGCCGAAGACACTTCCGCGGCTTTCCCCATCGCCGATGAGACTCTCTCCCAGTCTCTCCTGGACCTTGTCCAGCAGGCTTCTCACTACAAGCAGATCAAGAAGGGTGCCAACGAGTGCACCAAGTCTCTGAACCGTGGTACCTCCGAGATCGTCATCAGTAAGCTATCATCTACCTAAGAGACTTTACCCCACGATTCTAACAATATTGCAGTGGCCGCCGATACCGCTCCCCGTAAGTCAATTGAGCCATAATAGCTCACCTCGAAAGCATTCTAATATCAACGCAGTGGCTATCGTCCTCCACCTGCCCCTCCTCGCCGAGGACAAGAACGTATGTACCCTGGAACCAGCTCATACCTGCGCATCTTCCGACCCCGAGACTAATTTCAATCCCAGGTTCCCTACGTTTACGTCCCCAGCAAGATGGCTCTCGGCCGTGCCACCGGTGTCTCCCGCCCCGTCATTGCCGTCTCCATCACCACCAACGACGCCAGTGACCTCTCCGCCCAGATCCAGGCCATCAAGAACCAGGTCGAGCGTCTCATGATCTAAGCTGTTACTTCGGTACCTTGGAATTGGATTGGCTTGGAAGCAAGGTATATATAATGGACTGTCAGCACCAGTTGACAGTGATGAATTGCTTTCGAAGGGAAGGATCCCTTCCCAGTGAACTGCATCTTGCTTGTTGGATCAGGTAGCTCTCAGCCTAGACCTTGCTTTCGCCCTTTTATGGGACAATTCGGACATTAAATCTTTGACTTGAGCTCTTCGCGTAGATTTTACTGTTGCCGAGATTTGGAGTGCATTCAAATTAGTGATGGATCGACAGGTTTCGTACATAGATGGCATTTGCCGAGTGATCGGCCATAGGACGGCACAGGTGCTGTGCTGGGGTTGCTACCCGATCGTAGTTCCGTCTATATGAATTCCACACGGAGCACATTTAGAGCTATTCAATCTACCACCGCATGACACCTAGGCAGGTCCATAATGCCTCAAAGATACAAGAACTTGAGAAGTTCCATCACCAACAATAATTCACGCTTGGATCTAGTAGCTAGAAAGCCACACCCACTAAGCTTTATGGGCCAGCGTAGCGGCCGAAGCTCAAATCCCGAGGACCAGGTTTGGGATATTGTCGATGTGCTATATTTGCGAGCACATCGTCCTTGACAGGGATATGGGACAGCTGGGCACTGCTATATGCAATGATCGGGGGCCAGCCCCCCCCCCCCCCCCCCCCTCCCCACAGACTCACTCCCCAGCCACGCTACCTACCACCACAACACTTCCACACACCAACAACAAAAAACCACGCTAA